GTGTTGATTTGGATATACCAAGGGAAAATATTAGGAGATGTTTGCGAACTAATCTCCGGAGCATTTTGTTTTTGGTTCATATCAATACATGCCTTGGTTAATTTTTAAGAGCGAAATGTACTTTACCACCAACAATTTGCAATTATTTCAATTATAATTTCTTTTGAAGTTTTTTTTAATATGATAAAGCAGCTTTGTTGAATATTGTGAACTATATACTACCACCGTACATAAAACTCACTGGTTTATGACTGGTTTATGACTTTAAACACTGAGTGGATTGTTTTTTTCAAGGGTTACTTGATAATTCATCGTTAAATTGGCAAAAATAGGGAATTATTTAATTTAACTGCAGAATTATTAGTAATTAATATTTTTAAACGAAATTTGGTACAGAACTGTTTTGGGGATGCCGAATGTAGGGTGTACTCAAATTTTTTGAAAAAATCGCTAATATGATTTTTGCAAATTTTTCACCACAAAACTTTATTAAGTAGGCCTTGTTTTTTGTGAAATAACATGACATTGAGCCCTAAAGTACATTTTTTGAAACTTTATATTTGAAAAAAAAATCATCAAAATCGGACTATAAACACAGATTTTATGGAGGGTGCCCGGTCTTGAGTGGGTCACATTGTATATATATGCAGTCTCAATGAGAGTATGAACAGACGTATAGAGGCAGTCATAGCAGCCAAGGGAGGCAATAAATGTATTAGGGTATTTTTTACAATTTTCTTTCTGTTTGTATACTTCAGCATTGCAGATGTTTTTTTTAATATCGTTAGTTCTGTTATCGTTATTAATGTTTATTAAAACCAGGACTGTATTGTTATTCTTTAACTTTTTTTTAATTTAGTATAGAGTACCCGATGCAGCGTAACATGAAGTCGTAACAGTCGCAGCGTAACAATAGTCACCAAAACCATCTTGTCCTATTAAAAAATTACATCAAAAATAATCATAATTGAAAAAATTGTAAATTGACCGTGATCAGTTCATTTCGCCCTTAAAAATTAACCAAAGCATGTATTGACATCATCCAAAAAACAAAATGCTCAGGAGACTTATGCTCATAGTTCTTACTGTAAAATTATATTTTAAGAAAATTTACACACGAAATTATTCCACAGGGTGTTTTAAAGTTAGGATGAAAAAACAACCCCTTGATTAACCCTGTATAATATGCCAATTACTAAAGTTTCTACAAAACTGAGTTTACGAATTCAAGTTGATATAATTATATACGGTTTGCTAAAAAAAATCATGAAAATAGGGCTAAAAATAATAAAAATATAACACTTTAAATTTGTCCAAAAATTTCTCAGTTGCGTTTTTTGCATCTGAGGGTATATTATGAAATATTTAAAAATTACAAAATCTTAATATGTACATTTCAATCATTATATGTTACATTTCTGAGGGGAGTTAATCTCCGCGACCTTACAGGTGAGCTCTTCATCCTCGACATCAGCCCGATCAGCCGTACCAAAGTTCATGGCACGAATGGTCGTCGTCTCGGCGTACTCAGCGATAAGGTGTTCTGGTGCTTCCCCATTTTCCCCACAGAATCTGCATTCGCCGTTGTTTCTCAGCTTCAGCCTACTGAGGTGTTCATTGAGGAGACAGTGTCCTGTTAGAAACCTCGTGCTAATCTGAAGATTGTTTTTACAACAATCAAAAATGATAAAAATATAACAATTAAAAAAATTGTCTAATGTTTGAAAAATGTCAAGAATCAATTAGTGGTGTCAATTAACGTAGAAGTTTGTTTCTCTGGTATCAATGTAAGCATTCAGAACGTCAAAATGAGTGGTTGTAATTTCCTATAAGTAGAAAAAGTTAACAAATCTATAACCGTTGATTGAAGAAATAAAATGCACAACGTTATGGGCGATTTGGTGGCACAAAACCTGTCCGAGATGTAGCTGGCGTTACCGTCAGCCTGTCTGAGATTTAGTTTAGCTCTGCGCCGCTGCGCGCTGATAGTCGTTTACAACACAGCGGATAAAGAACACTGTACCGTAGTTCTGCTTTCAGTCGACAAAGTGAATGGTTTCCGGAGACAGTGTTGCCAGAACTACTGATAAATCCGTACAATTATAGATTTTGGGTACAGCACGTTAATAATAAGGATTTTTTATCATTAAACAATTTAATATATCATATGATTAAACAAAGAACGGCGTCAGAGTTGGCTTGGAAATGGAGATCGCTGTTATCTCATATGTAAAATATTATGATAAATTTCAATAATCGTCATTTCCAAGCTAAACGACTTTTTTCGATCATACGACACATTCAGTACCTATATATAAAACAATTTTTATTTTTGTTGTTTATTCTATGTTTAACACGAATAAATTTTCAATACAAAAACATATTATCGTCAAACGTATTACAGATCTTACACATTTTAATATGGCAACACTGTTGCTTTCAGTTCCACACCGTCTTCGATATGCCTTAGCTGGCCGAATTAGAGAAAATAAGTGTTTTATGCGTTGGTCGCAGAATTCGCCAATTACATTTATATCATTATTCTCCGTAAAGAGAAATTGTGGTTAGGAAAAAAAGTTTATTTTATTTGCTAATTATTACGCTTTCTCTGCAGGGTTCGGCAATAGTGCGTCGGGCATTTGTAGCTCTATTCTAGGAGCTACAAATGCCCGACTAAAAAAAAACTTGACAATTTTGTTTAAGTGTAAACCCAAAGTATGTACGAGGATGTATTGCAGGAAAATATACTTCTATAGGGTGGCTCAAAAAAGTGTGAGTAGATCGGAATGATTTTTTTAAATGGAACACCCTGTATATTATTGCATTTTTGGCTTCCTTTCAGATCACTTTACATAGTCCTAAGATATAATAATAATAATAAAAAAAATAAATAAAAATTTTATATTTTTCAGCCTTTCCTAAAAAAATTATTAATAATACAAGAACTATCCTGAAATCAAAACTATAATAGGTATTTACTTTAGATGGTCTGTACTAACTTTACTATAAATATGGAAATCGTAAATCTTATAGGAAGTTCAGAATTCTACGCTAAACGTTCTAAAATATAAAATAATTTTTCTTCGTTTTTTTAAATGGAACACCCTATACATTATTTTTTCAATAGATGGAGAATAAAAAAATGAATATTTTTTGTATTTAGAGCATTTTAAAATTTTTAACAGTTTTGCAGATATTCGCGGTTTTATATTTCATATGGCATTTTCCACAGTAAATTTTTATCAAAGCCACCCAATGACTTTTCTCCCGTATTTTACCATTGCAAGCGCCATATGAAATAATACTGCGTGTTTTACAGATCCTTGCCTCCGTTTTACAGATAAAACTATTAAAAATTATGAAATAGTTTTAAAGAAAAAATGTTCATTTTTTAGCTCTACATCAAAAATATAGAAATAATATACAGAGTGTTCCATTTAAAAAAACATAGAAAAAATATTTTATATTTTAGAAAGTTTGGCGTAGAATATTGAACATCCTGTGTGATTTACGATTATCATATTTAAAGCAAAGTAAGAACAGACCATCTAAAGTAAATACCTAATATAGTCTTGATTTCAGAACAGTTCTTGTATTTTTAATATTTTTTTAAGAAGGGCTGCAAAAAATGTATATTTTTGATTTATTTTTTAATATCTCTGAAAACTAAAACTATCGAAATATATTTACTCATATCTTAGGATTATGTAACGTGATCTGAAATGAAACCAAAAATGCAATAATATACAGGGTGTTCCATTTAAAAAAAATCATCCAGATCCACTCACACTTTTTTGAGCCACCGTATAGAAGTTAAAATATTTTCCTGAAATACATCTTGGTACATACTTTAGATTTGCACTTCTACAAAATTCTCAAGTTTTTTATTCTAAGAGCTACAGATGCCCAACGCACTATTGCCGGACCCTGTATATGGATACAACTAAATCAAATTCAACCAATAAAATTAATATCGTATCGTCGTATCGTCGGATAACGGATGCATGAAAATCAAGCTTGACACTGCAAGCTGTTGCTAGGTTATTCTATTAATTTTAATTGAATTCTTTGGACATTGTGAATGATTGTAAACTCTTAAGTATAAAGTATAATTAAACCCACTAATTTCGGGGCTCTGAGCTTGGTACATACTTTAGGTTTGCACTTATACAAAATTCTCAAGTTTTTTATTCTAGGAGCTACAGATGCCCGACGCACTATTGCCGGACCCTGTATATGGATACAACTAAAGCTTGATTTTCATGCATCCGTTGTCCGACGATACGATATTAATTTTATTGGCTGAATTTAAAGGCTTCGATTGGTTAACCGTTTCTAACCAATCAAAGTCTTAAAATTCAACCAATAAAATTAATATCGTATCATCGTATCGTCGGATAACGGATGCATGAAAATCAAGCTTAACGCTGCAAGCTGTTACTAGGATATTCTATTAATTTTAATTGGATCTTTTGGACATTGTGAATGATTGTAAACTCTTAAATATAAAGTATAATTGAACCCACTAATTTCGGGGTTCTAAATAATAATATCTATACATCTCGCTATAAAATATTTCAAATTATTTCGTACGACACTGTCTAATGCCGAGAAGGTGTTCATCGACAAAATATTGATGAAGCTCCTAACTTCTTTAAATGCGACCACTCTAGTATCACAGGTAGCATACCGTGAATAACTGCTAATAATTTTTTATTACCGTCATAAACCTATGTTCTAAACGCCTTAAAAAATTATCACTAATAAAAAATTATATAAGCATAAAAATATGTGTCCTTCATGAGATTATAATTATAACAATCGCCTATATAAAAACAAAGTTACTAATTTTTTTCTTATGACAGCGAATATATAATTTGTAATAATCACAAATAAACACAAATAATTATACTTAACGCTGCTTGGTAACTGATTATCAACACGATTGCAAACTAGTACTAAGTGTTGTACTTAACACTCAAAATAAAACACAAATATTATAAATTAGTATCTATAATTTCGACAAATGCAAATATCTGTACATTCGATCAAGGTATATAAAATAAAGCGTATATCTTCTTCTCTCAAAAAAGTAAGATTTAGACTTTTCCAGTAAACATATAATATTTTTTATAATGTTCATATAAAATTTTAAACATTTCCGTCGAAGCGTTTGATAAGGTCCTCATAAGATAAGACACAGCATGATGGTCGGTTAAAGATACCAAACTGTATACACAGTTGTTCAAGTGAAGCTACAAAAAAATATATTTTTTAATACATTTAAACCTGACAATCAAAATACTCACCTTAACATTTGGATAAAGATTTATTTGTTCATATCTCTCTAAAATATCTGCAATTAAAAACACAGCTATCCTGCTCATATCTTTCTTGCAAGCGACTAAATTCTTAGTCAATTTCTCCAATTTATGAGCACAGTCTGAAGCTTTTTTAATATCTAAAGAAGTTTCACTCTGATCGGAATTGCTTTTATCGCATAACACTTTTAAAATAATTCTATATTGTTGTAAAAACGGTGGTAATCTATCCATTATCATTGCATTTCGATGTTTTAATAATTTCTCCAATAATGAAATAGAACTGGTAAAGATTATTTCAAAATTATAATTTTCCGAAGTGTTTAAAATTGTAGCGTTTATTAAAAATAAGTCTACAAGAGTCGGAGATAACATACACTAAAATATTAAAAAAAATATATAAATAAAAAATAAATTTTGAAAAATAACCTTACATGTTGCGTATAAATAATATTTTCTTCTAAATGTATGATGTCTTTAACACATTCGGTATCCACTTTATTTGATCTCAATAAATTCAAAAGTTTTTGAATCAGCTTTTCCAAAATTTCTTGCCATATTTTCATTTTAACTGGATTAATGTTACAGGTTAAAATAGATTCCCAAATCCTCAGTTGTCTTGAAAGTAATTTATAATTTTTGTCATTAATGTTATGTTCCTGAAAATAGTGATTGTTTTACTATAGATACCGTATGAACGAAAATAGATGGCGTCCAAAAGATTGGCTGGGAAATACCGATCGATGACATTTCCATATAAATTAATGACAGCGATCTTCATTTTATAGCCATCGCTGACACCTTTTTTTTTCGATCATACGGCATAAAATTACTTAAATGTATGAATTCTAAAAATCTTAAATTATAGGTACATGTGGTCACTATAAAATATGCATAACATACATTAATACATAACATACATTTAAAAATATTTTTATACATAAAGTGGTTTAAACTTAATTTCTCAATAAATGTGTAGTTTTGTAAATAGACAACTATTAGACCGAGAGCTGGCTACATAAAAAACCTTATCATCGTTACATGGCTAATTTTTCTTGTGAACTCTCCTCATGTGTAGCCATTATGAAATAGTCATGTCTGCCAGCGCGATCCCGGGGCTTAAAGCGGAAGCGGCCAATCGAGGGTGAAATTTTGACACTAAAATATTATAAGGTACACGAGTTATAATTGCCAAAGCTGCCAAATTGCTTTTATTTATTATTAAAAAACGTGGAAAATTGTTAGCAAACATTTTTCTCGTGGCTAAAATGCAGGCAGACAACGCGAAAGAGGCATGAAATTTTAACAAAAAAAAAATGATCGCATACATGCATGCCGATTGGCGGAATGTCAGATTTATTTACTTAAAAAGCCGTATGCAAAAGGGCAGGTGAAAAAAATCGTGGCTCAATCAGCTGTAGACAGTTATCAAAAGCGCGATATCACTCTACAGGGTGAGTCTTGGATAAGTGCAAATATGTTCAAGGCTGGTATCTCGACAAAAGAAATATATTTTCTCTTTACCGTTTTTCAAATGAGTTCAAAATAACCATTCAAGTTTGAAAATTTAAAAAGACATTTTTAGAAAGATTTATGAGTCACCTGTTTTGTATTTGAATCCATTTAGAAAGATTTATGAGTCACCTGTTCTGTATTTGAATCCATTCTTTTAGTGTCGTAACAAGGTCGTAACCATAAAGTAAAGCCTAAGCACGGTAGATTAAAAAATTATACCGTGGGTAAATTTGCGGTGAACAGGCAGTTGTACAAAGTTTTCTAAAATATAAAGGAACATTTTTGAAAAATGCACGATTTTCAAGGCGGGTAGCGTTCCCTTAAAGCGCTAGAGTAATATTGCGCTTTTGATAACTGTCTGCCGCTGATTTAGCCACGATCTGTTTGTCTGCCCTTCTGCATACGGCTTTTAAAATGAATAAATATGACACTCCACAAATCGGCATGCATGTGAGCCATATTTTTTTTTTTCAAAATTTCATGCCGGTGTCCTTTCGCGTTGTCTGCCGGCATTTTAGCGACAAGAAAAATGTCTGCCAACAATTTTTCACGTTCCTTAATAATAAATAAAAGCTATTTTCGCAATTATAACTCGTGTACCTTATAATATTTTTAGTATCAAAATTTCACCCATTCGATTGGCCGCCCCCGCTTTAAGCCCCGGGATCGCGCTGGCAGACATGACTATTTCATAATGCCTACACATAAGGAGACTTCGCAAGAAAAATTAGCCATGTAACGATGATAAGGTTTTTTATGTAACCAGCTCTTAGACTATATATAGTTTTTGCTCAGCAGAATTTGATCAAGTTCTGTATTCTGTCAAAATCGGCCCTTCTGTCGGTGCACAGACTTTAAATTCTTTACTCATTCTCAAACTAAAACTTAAAAATGGAGCGAAGCGGCAACTACGTCACAGATATGCTACATAACGTATAAAATCCCATAAAGTAATAAAAAAATAAAATGCAACGGACAAAGAGATAAATGGGCAATGTAATAAAGAAAACAAACATCAAACAACTGAAAACTATGGACGCCATACACAATGAATATCGATTCGAAATTGTACTGTCGGACTATCGGCAGTTTTCATTAGTGATGGGATCACTCGAGTGAAAAATACTCGGTCATCCGAGTAATTATATCCTCGGTATGTCTCGAGTATTTTTGTCGATCCTCGAGGATTACTCGGCACGCAACTAACATCGGGGTGGTGTACCGGGTACCGTCCTCGCTGCTCGCGACGATACAGGCGATTTACGATTTATGCTGAAACCTTTTATATAGAGGACAGAGGATAACCGTTTAATCATTTGCTCGCATATCGCTCGCAATAATAGTCGGTTTTCAGAGTAGTAACCTGCATTTTTGAACAGAAATACATTATTCATTCTTGTTTCTTGTTTAGATGGGATATATTAATTATAAAGATTTTTTCTCCATACTTTATATTTTAAGATTTATAGTTTTTGTAACTAAATGTAATTTATTTGTTTTTTAGATTAATTTGTAAAAAACCTTTGCTTGTAGTTGTACGTTGGGATACTATATTCTGATGAAAGTATAATCGAAATTTAGTGTGATGGAATGTAGATATAAAGTGAATGATTTGCGGAATTTGCCAACAAGAACAATAACAATATTGCTGTATATTTTATTTCATTTTTTTTTCAAACAATTTTTAAAGTGACAGCTGACTCGGCCAGAAGCCTTAAACTCGGCCTAAAGTAAAATTTTATTAGTTAATATTTTTCTATTATGAGGGTTCACAAGAGAAAGAGGTTGAAAATCCGAAACAATCATCATTAACAATTTTTTTTTGATTATTAGTTAAGCTGTGCCCAAACAATACAGTTGGTAAATTCCTTACTCTAAGGTAAATTCAATTTTAAAACTGCATATTATGTCGCATAAAAACTTAAAATATGCACAATAACACAATACTATTTCAATTTATTAGGTACTACAGATTATTTTCGGTGAAAGTACGCTATTAAAAAGTAAAACAAAATATATTTTTTATCTCAATCACCTCAAACCAAACCGACCGCCGACAAATAAACAATAAATAACGAGCCCTTTTTAAAAATCCGCACGTATTTCCTAGAATTACTTGGTTTCATTTGGCCTGAAAGTGTGCGAAAGGTTGCCAGATTAGCCTCAAAGTCGAAGTTAAAGAAACAAAATCAGCACAATTTAAAGCAAAACCTATGAAAATTTTATTTCCCACGTGAAATTATACACGAACATATTAAAAATTATTAAAAAAGTGTTTAAAATAATTAGTATTTATTTGTATAACAATATTATTTAAGTCATTCAAGTACATGGCAACAGTGTGTTAAAAACAGAAAGCAAAATCACTCACACCCAACGGTGGTTATTAATTCATGTTTCGACCGAGATATACAGAAAAATTTTTTGATGACGGAGGATTCCTCGGATGATCATCCGATTATTGGAATCCTCGAAGATTGAAATCATCCGATTTTTCCCAACACTAGTTTTCATCTCCTTTTTTTATCTATGATTGGCAGCATACCTGTGACGTAGTTGATGACGTTTCCAATAATGGTGGATCGAGTTACGAGACAACCTTATCTTTTAATAACCTTGGAAATGACGGTAAATAGTAGTAGTAGTAATAGTAAATGAAAATAACAGTAACAGATATTGTGTTACTGTCAAATATACTGTAGTTATTATTCTTAATATTACCTATTATTCTTAATATTAAATTAATTCAAGAATAAGTAAGACAAAAAAGACTAATATTATTATACGACAAATGCCTTTATCTTCATACTTACAGTAAGTTCAAGTAAATCCTTCAGAATAATCTCAAAACTTTCATTTGGTATTAAAGTAACAATTAAGTTAATCAAATGTGAATATTCATCACCGACATCTACTGTTTTACAAGCATTCCATACTTTCAAAACTATATCATCATCTACACTATTTAATTTCTGTTTGTTGTGCAGAATTGCTGTAAAGAGTATCACACAACCTCTTTTATTTTCATTAGAGATATTTTCAAGGGAATAATTTATATAAGTTGGCAACTTTTCTGTTAATTTTTCTAATATTTTAGCATCCTTTTCTGTTGATAGGTAATGTTTTAAACATGCGCTATAGGCTTCTATAAGGTTATCTGACTTACAAGCCAATTTAACCATTTTACTGAAAATCTTATCTTTATAATCATTTACCACTTCTTTTGTTGCAAGGTCCATCCTAGATTTCTTTATCTGTAATATCCAGGAATTAATAAAATCACAATAAGCTAAGTAATGTACCTACTCTGTTTGCAGCTTGTATTACTGTAAAACTTGCACTTAGATATTTTTGTGATTCCAATTTTTTTATTAGACATAAAACAGTAGGTTCAAAACTTTTTATAGATTCTGCACTTTTAAAAAGATTATCAATTACAAGTGAAAATATATTATTGTGTCTTTTAAAGTGTTCTAAAATATTGATACATAAGGTATTACTATCAAGAAGATCTGTTATCTGAAACCTATAAGCTTGAAGCATGCCTGGAATATAAATAAAATTTAAAATAATAATTACAACAAAAAATTGTTTTTACCTATCATAATATTTTCGCAAAGAGTGTTTAATTCTTCGGTACCAGACAATAAATCATTGTGGAGAGCATATAAATAGAGAAATACTAGTTTTTGATTATTTACATTACTGTAAATTATTGGAATCAGTTGTAAAATTTTTAAATAACTTAAAATCTTTGTTTCTTTTTTTGCAATATCAAATTCAATTGTATTGCCATTTTCAAGAACTTCTTTGATTTCTTGTATTACCTCAAGTTTGCTCTCCGTATTATTTTTTAAGAATATGTCTTTTGAAATAGCAGAAAATAATTTTGCGCTTAGTGATTTATTGGACTCTTGATCATGTTTTCTTTTAGTTTTAGTCAATTTACTTATTTTAGTCATTATCACATAAGCGACGGAATTAGCAATTGTTATTGATTCCTGAATATGATGCAGCTCAAGCAAAGCCTTGTCTTCAATTAAATGTTCTGCTACAAATACAAGAGCATTTACATCCATTTTTGGCAAAATAACGTTAACTGCAAATTTATCCAATAATAAATCCTTCCATGTATCTTCTAAATTATTTTGTATCCTTTTCACTATGTTTAATACAATGTCTTCGTTGATATCCTTTTCAAACAGTAACATTGCTCTGTATTTTTGAATAAAAAGTTTTTGCTGCAATATCAAAAAGTTACCAAAGTTACCAAAGAAGGTTTTTTGTGCAGCTAGACCTGAGGTTAATAGTTGCACAGACTTTCTAATGTTAAAATTTGTGAAAATAGTTGTAATTTAAAAAAAAATATTTCACATTTCGAAGGCACCTGGACGGCGTTTTTTTCGATCATATGTTATTATAGTAATTATAGTAATATAATAATAATAGTAATTATAGTAATATTTTTCGATCATATGTTATTATAGTATAATAACATATGATCGAAATAAACGTTAATATAACTTACCAATAATCTTTTGCAAGGATATTCACCAAAATTACTTATCCTCTGAGATATTAATTGCCATTGTAGTACATCTAAATAAGAGTGCAAATACAATAAATTACAAGCTGTGTAGGTATTATCCATTAATGTAACCATTTTCACCTCATTATTAATGGAATAATAAGTTAATGTCATATAAATTTCAGCCCAAACATATGCAATATTTAAAAATGTACGCATAGTAATATGATTCTAAAAAATACGAAGAAAAGTTGATAATAATTATTTGTGCCATAATAATATCTTACATGCTCCTGTTTTATCAAGCTATTGCCAAATATTTTTAAAATATTTTTTAACTCCTCCAAACCATTAACAAATTTAATAACAACGTTCTGTGGAATAGTATGATCAGCCATCTTAACACTTTGGAGTAATTGGCAGATTAAAATCCCAAGAATTTCAATAAAAATGAGCTTGAGGGAATCTATTAAAATAAAATTTATAAAATAATTAAACGCTAATAAATTTACTAAAACTTACCAGTTTCATAAGATTCATTTAAATATTCAGTAACAGAAGAATTCAAATGAAATATAAAGGTTTTCACTAAATTTATTATTTGCCAACTGGCTAAACCACTTATGCAGTTTGTAAAAGACTGAAGAATATTTTTGGAAAAAATACTACTAACAGTAACATTAGTATTTTTTGGTACTAGAATATCATGTTTCCCATTGAACAGATATACATTTTCAATATTATCCAGATATTTGTGTTTGTTAATTAAAGAACCTTTAAATGCTTGTATAACTTTAGCAATAAAATTCTCAATTCTATGTAGTTTTGAAAATATTTCAAATACACTACTTACTGCTTTTTCATATATTTCAACGTTCTGTTCATTATTTGCTAGCATGAAGAAAATTACTATTTCATTTATTAGTGGTTCAATAACCAATGGATTTATTGTAATTATTCTCAAAAATATTTCATATACAGTTAATGTTGGAATTTTTAAAACAATTAATGACTTAAATACTTTTCTCAGAAAAGAAGTAAAAGAAATTTTACAAATTGCAATATCAGTAAAACTTTTTTTGCTAATAACATCTAATAATATCAACAGCAACTCTAGAGATTGTGAGAGAGAAACTAGAGCGACAAATTTAGTAGAATTTATGTTGAAATCAGATGATAAATTAAAATTTAGAAAATTAAATAAAAATAGAGCAAACTTGTAAATTAAATTAAAATCACTATATGACTCGCAAAAGCTATATATGATTAAATTAAAATGTACATTTAATAAGCTTTTATTCTGGCTGTAAACAGACATTAGATGTTTAAGAATATTATGAAGAAGTGAGCCTTTCTCAATGTCTTGTCCTTCTATATACTGACTGAATAAACTATCTACCTTTTTAACATTTTCATTAAATATACACTAAAATACAATAACAGTTAAAGAAATCTTTTAAATATTAATATCAATTTTAAGCCTACCTTCTGTACCACTTTACTGATTTCCTCAAACAAAACTATGTGCTCCTTAAACTGTACAGCATAACTCGCACAAGCTGGAAGGAAATATTCTAAAAAATACTTTCCAAATTTTTCCTCGCTAATAAAGTTCTTTGGAAACAAAGTTGGGCTCCTAATAAATTCAATAAACTGAAGAGGGCAATTAATATTTCCAGCAACTTTGGATAAAAATTTGAAATACGTTTTTAAATTGTATTTGAAGAACTGCTTAAATATTCTATGGTTAATTAATGATAAGGCTGCATCTTTAATTAATTTTCTTAAAAGAGGATCTTTAGATTCAGACAGTTCTAACTTATGTAAGAAGACCTAAAAAAATAATATTAAATAATAAAACCATAAAAAAATAATTATCATTTCTGTAGATTAGCTTACATCTGATATTTCTACAATATCATCATAGTATATATCATTTTGTACCAGGTCCCTAAATTGATCTGAAGACAACCATGTTTGAAGAAGTATCCAAATATCAGTATCAGATGTACTTATATTATTAAAAGCCCATTTTATAAGTTTGGTTTCTTTGTGTAGTATTGGTACTTGATAAGATTTAAATGCTTTGTCTGCTATTCTCATACGTTTGGCGATTGGTTCAGAAGAATCACTCAATGTGTTTAAAAGATCTGAAGACATAAATCTATCTTATTTAAAATACTTAGATTAATATAATATTTACATTCCAAGTTCTATATTATATAAGTATTTACCTTCTGATAGAACCATGTTAAATCAAATTATTTTTTTAAACACTCAATATTTCAGGCACGTGTATATATGTTAAAAATGCCCCTAAAAGCCGCTAAAATATTGTCCTTTCCATATTAATTTATTGTTGTATATGCCATACTTTCTTTAGATAAATTATTTTTCTTTAAAATTGTTTTAAATAAAATTTTTAATATTTTAAAAAATACATAAAAATACTAAATTTAGTGAGGTTATGTATTTATCAGGGATGTGTCAAACAAAATTTTAATTGGTAGTTCAAAATTACTAATAGTTCAAATGTACCTCAAATAAGAGATAAGTACCGGTCGTTAACAAGTAGTATGTGGGAAGTGTTTTAAATACCTATTATAAATAATAGCCTTGTGTATATATTTTTATATAAACAAGGATAATATGTATTATGTAATAACATTTTATTCTCGCAAAAGTCTCAAAGCATAATAAATTAATACGATATCATTTCAGTAGCTTGATTTAGAAAATCATATATTAAAAATTATATGATAACGATTTATATGTCTTTGCTACCGACTTACTTTGGTTCTCTATGGTCAGTTATCTATTTTTTGACATAAAACTTTTTCCATTGACATTTGACAATCCTGACGTTTCTTCAGTATATTCTGTGGTTTCTTCCTTTTTGTTGTGTGCAATGGCGCCGACGTAAGTTTTTATTAGAATTTCGATATCTAAAATCATCTTTTATTATAAAATATACTAAATAATATTTCCTATTAAAATGTTACCACTGTGTAACGATCTTTTTAGATCATTTTATATTTTTATTCAATCTGCTTATGGATAGTTACGAAAAACCATTGTTTATGAAGTCATGTTTAGTGTTGGTCTCGAATCCTATATAATTTACATTTTTTTCTTTTAGTATAGAAAAGAAAACGAAAACTGTTAAAGGACTGCCCGCAGTTCCCGAATCGGTTTTAAAACACCGTAAGAGGAGGGCGGCATCCCGGGCCCAAAGATTACAGTCTGAAATTAAAAAGAAGTCTGATCAGATCAAGAAACGTAAAGAGATCTTCAAAAGAGCCGAACAATATGTTAAGGAATACAGGTTGAAAGAACGCGATGAAATCAGGCTTGTTCGCCAAGCTAAAACTAGAGGAAACTTCTATGTACCTGCACAAGCAAAATTGGCATTTGTGATTCGTATTAAAGGGTAAGTTACTATTTAAATGTAGTATTATTTCAATGTTAATACGTAGATGAGTTCAATGGTGGTCTTTGTATCCATGAAATTCCACTTTCCATGTCATCTTAGATAATTAGTTTTTTGTTCATGCTTATGTTTAATTTATAACTGAAGCATTGTAAAGAAAGCTAACAATATATTCAAAACTAAATTGTCATATTTATTGTAAGTGCATTGTGTTATCAATTTTTTTTTTTAGTATAAACAAAGTTTCCCCTAAAATCAGGAAGGTTTTGCAATTGTTCCGCTTACTCCAAATCAATAATGGAGTATTTGTTAAACTAAATAAAGCCACCATCAATATGTTGAGGATTTGTGAACCATACATTACCTGGGGATATCCTAATCTGAAATCTGTAAGAGAGCTTATATATAAGAGAGGATTTGCCAAAGTTAATGGACAGCGTATTCCTATCACCAGTAATCAGATCATTGAAGACAGGTTGAGTAAATCTGGAATTATTTGTGTTGAAGATTTGATCCATGAACTCTTTACTGTTGGACCTAGTTTCAAATATGCCTCGCACTTTTTATGGCCATTTAAGGTAAGCAATTTAATTAAATCTAAACACTTGTTTTAATGTGTAAGGTAAGGTTTTTCCATAGGATGTATAGTACAATTGTTATATACTAAGTTTTTGCATATTTATTTAAAAAATATGTATTTTTTTGTATATGTATGATTTTTTTTAACTTATAATATTAAAAGGAATGTATATCTGATCATATAAATATTTAATGTGTAAATTTAAAACTATTATTAAATTTTCCAGTGGTAAAGGTAATTTCTACACAAGTAATTTTTTATTTACAGCTCAACACACCAACAGGTGGATGGCGTAAGAAAACTAATCACTATGTCGAAGGTGGTGATTTTGGTAACAGAGAAGATAAAATTAATGAACTTCTCAGAAGAATGGTTTAAGCCACTTAAAAGTTATTTCTAATAAATTATAGAAAACAGAATGTTGTTTTATTTCAAGTGTTTTATTTAGCTCTAAACATTAATTAATACTTTTATAATGCCCATAAACAAATATTGCTTGGTTTAATATTGGTTAATTTATTATAATCATTAGATTCAAAATAGCATGGTTATAGGAGAGGGAATAAATTTCGAAAATCAGTTTATTGAATGAAAATACCTATAAATCAGTATCTGTTAATAAAATGTTTAAGTACATGTAATAAAATAAGAGTCGGGAACAAAAAGCTCTAGCAGCCCTCGTTTGAAAATTCTTTTATTCAACGAAAAAATCCCTTTAGATTGAATAAAAAAAATCCATTTTAATTAGAATATTTTTATTTTTTATAAATATTATATATGTACTATATTTATCATATAAAAATAAATCATATATGTTAATTAAAGGGAAATGCAGAAGAAGATTTTTTTGATAAATGACATTAATTCGATTTAAAAGATAACCTGTGAAGATAACCTATCAATTTTGAGTTGAAATGTCAAGTGGAATTTAGAATTATAAATACATTTTCGAAAAGGATTTTCAACAACAAAATACGTATTTTTCTTTATATTAAATGTGTCAAGACCTCATATTCCACGAATAGTTAATAGCTATATCTACAAAATGGTATGAATTAAATTACATACTGACAATGTATAAAGTATTCTTTTCTTTTTCAAAGTAATATTTTGTTTTCGTAAATTTTCTCTCTTAGATTTATGTTATTACTTAATTTAAGTTAATGTATATATGTTTATTGCAATTTTCTGTTAAAAGTCGTCATATCAGGATGATGAAGAGGGTGTACCGTTTGATGGTCAGGCTAGTTCATTTCCCAAGGAATTTGGTTATGGGGCCTTTGATGGAGATCAAGATAATAATTCTGCCGACCACAAACCTCGTATCTTACTTATGGGCCTACGGAGGTCTGTAAATTAATATACAATATTTACATTTTTAAGTAAACAGTTCATATTTCAGGTCAGGAAAATCATCGATACAAAAGGTTGTTTTCCACAAAATGTCACCAAATGAAACCCTGTTTTTAGAGAGCACAAACAAGATCGTCAAAGATGATATAAATAACTCTAGTTTTGTTCAATTTCAAATCTGGGATTTTCCTGGTCAAATAGATTTTTTTGATAATTGTTTTGATTTTGATAATATATTTGGAGGATGTGGAGCATTAGTGTTTGTAATAGATGCACAGGTAAACAGGTAAAAGTAGTTTATAAAACAATTCTTTGCTGATATTGAAACTTTAGGATGATTATTTGGATGCACTAAATAAGCTAAATTTAATTGTAACAAAAGCATACAAAGTAAATCAGAATATAAAATTTGAGGTATTTATTCATAAAGTTGATGGATTAGGGGATGATTCAAAGATGGAATGCCAAAGAGATATCCACCAAAGGGCTATAGATGATTTGAGTGATTCTGGTAAGTTAAGGTGCAAAGATGATTTTGCATTTAAAGACTGTTATAAGTGAATACATTAAAATTATTCTGTTGTAACAATTGTTTTAATTATTTTTCTAATTTATACTAAATACAGAGTTAATAAACATTTTTATTTTTTTTACTTTATATGACTCCATAGGTATATAGTCTTTATTGGGACATTTTCCTTATAAATATAGTAGAACTTCAATAATTCAGACATATAGGAACATCTATCACTGAATTAATGAAATATCCAGATTACAGGAATTTTTTATGTTACTTTTACATATTCTTATTGTTTCCAACCTAAACAAAAATTTAAATACATTTTTATTAAAATAAAAACGCCAAACACTTTATAAAATACATTAAAACTTATTGTACTAATTGCATCTAATATGTATGCATAAAACAACTTAAAATAACACTTCTTGTCTAAACTTATAACATAAATAATAGAACTTTCATATTAAGCAAGAGAATCCACCTTAACACCCAATAAATATTAACATAAAATGTAAACAAATATAATTATAGAATAATTAATTCAAAGGTTTTATAAAAAATTAATCAATTTTTATCTGCATACTTATCGATTTTGCTGCCTCATCAGCCTTCTTTTTCACTCCTTTAAAAAGCAAAATATCTTGCGTAGAAACATTGTTTTCTTTGACCCAATAAATACCATATGATTGAAAAAACTGCGTGTGTCACAAGTTGGCGCATGTTCGAATCAGAGAAGTTCTACTGTATTGCTGTATTGTTATATAATAAACTATGAATTTGTTTTTAGGGTTTGATCAAATTCATCTTAGTTTTCATTTAACATCCATTTATGATCATTCTATATTTGAGGCATTCTCTAAAGTTGTACAAAAGTTAATAACACAACTACCAGCACTTGAAAATTTATTGAATATCTTAAATACGGTAAAATTTGGCTTTATATGTAAAGTATATTAAGAATCTTTAATATCCTCAATTTTTAGAACTCAGCTATAGAAAAATCATTCCTTTTTGATGTTGTGTCAAAAATATATATTGCAACTGATTCAACTCCTGTTGATATGCAAAGTTATGAATTGTGTTGTGATATGATTGATGTTGCTATTGATCTGTCATCTATTTATGGGCAAGTTTAATATGTTAAGGTATGGTATGATGAATTATTAGCTGAAACCTTATATTTATTATAGAGTAAAAGAAGAACAAGAGCCAGCTGCTTTTGATGAGCAAAGTTCCAGTTTAATAAAGTTAAACAATGGAACAGTGTTATATCTAAGGGAAGTTAATAAATTTTTAGCATTAGTATGTATTTTAAGGGAAGATAATTTTGATCATAAAGGTAATAATCTTTTAAATAAAATATAAACCATAAGATAACAAATCTCGTTTCTAGGTATCATTGATTATAACTTTTTGTGTTTTCGTAATGCCATTCAACAAGTATTTGAACTGAGAAATAAAAGCCAATCTCCAATGACTAATTCAATTGGGAGTCCTGTTGTTAATGGAGGTCACTTGATGGGTGATGGCCATCTTAGTCCAACGTTAATTGATGAACAGCCTTTAAGTTAAAACTGAAATATTAATTGATGCAAGTTGTATATTGTGCCTTTTTAAGCAATCCTTTATTTGTATTTATTTAATTTTTTTATTGTAACATAAGAATTTTTCAAACTAGAGAAAACAATTTTAAATCACTTATAGTTTCCATTGAGCAAACAAATAACTATAATAATGTATATTTGGTTTATATTGATTTTTATATTTATTTTTTTTTACGCCACTGATTTTATTATTTGCGTATTTTTGCAAAATAATACCAATACAATTTTTTAGTGCCATATATAGGAGCCCATAAATATATTGTGAGATATCGGTGACTACAATGTATATCAATAAGAATTATATGTAACAAAGTAGAGAAATGTTGAAATCACACTATATTTTTTGGCCAGCTTTATTTATATTAATTATTGTATGACTTACTTACTTTAAAAGTAAGTGTATCATATCTAAAAGTTGGCAATAACAAGATGAATAAATAATAGGGCGCAATTTTCTTTAGTTTTAAACTAATTTGCACTCAAAATAAATTTCTCTATTTGTCAAACAAACGTTCACTGACCCAGTGTGAGTTCATATTAATGAATATCCTTTAATGAGGGAATAAATACACATTATCTTCACAATGGTTTCAAAAACATGGTTTTATTTAAAAAAGAACTACAAATAAGGTGGCGATTTGTTTCGAGACGGTGAGGTCTCATTTTCAGACCCAAGCTAAAATATAAAACAAAGTCAAAGAAGTAAAAAACTTCATAAAAACAGTCAAATACATAAACAAAAGTGAGGTAATCAAAAGACAAATACAAATTATATATAGGTAAAAGTATTGCAATTATTTAATTATAAAATTGTTAGAGAAATTAAAATGGCTTAAGAATAGATAACTTATAATTTATAAATGATAAAAACAGGGAGATGGTGAGAAATTACTTTTATCTTATACATTAGATATTAAAGGTAATTTAGAAACAATTATTAAATTACAACATTCTTTTTACTATTGAAAGGAATAACTAAATGTATATTATGCAAGAAAATTAAAAAATATTCAATTTGAATATTTTTTTTATAATTTGTTAGTACATGTGTATATTTTGAGAGGAGCCAAGAGTTTTTTGTAGTTATATCCCCTGGTAGGAAAGAGAAGGGAACAATATAATCTTAAATTATTTATGTATAATTTAATATATTTTGTTGTGTTAATCAAATTTAATTTATATGATATTTTCGAGGCCCTACCGCCTCGAAACTTGTCGCCTTCATATTTGTAAAAAATTTTAAATGAAAAAAAATAATACAAGATTGACTGTTTGAGGACACTATGTCTTTATTCTCTCATTAGATCATTCTCTCTGCCTTTTTTGTATACACCTGGTTTTTATGTGGTAATTTTCTTAGATATTTAGAAACTAAGTAGCTTTATTATATATTTTATTTACTTTTAAATAGTTGTTTAGTCCTTATTTTAGTACAAAATTTAATAAAGATAACATATTATATGGTGTTTCCAAGTGCGTTCATACAAATATAACGAATTAAATTTAAAAAAAAAAACGGCGTCACATTTCGTTAGAAATGTCGATCAATGACATACGCCGTATTATTTTACACAGAAAATTTTCAACAGTCATTTATTTTATGTAACTTAATGCCGGTTTTTTTTTCGATAGCAAAGTGATATTAATATATTCTATGGCTAAAAACACCGTATAATCAAAAAATAACGACGTTATGGTTAGCGTTGAAATGCCGATCAATGAAAATTTTGTATGGGTTGACCTCTTTATGTCATTTGTTAAAAATTGGCAAAAACTCGTCAAACATTAATTTTTAATATTGAAAAAAAACATTCATTTTATTTTTTAATACAAACAAATCATTTTTATGAAATAGATTTTTGTGTGAATCTTTACATACTTTTTATTTATTTTTATATAAGTTTATTTTTTTCATTTAAATACTAATTTTTGACATTTTATTGGCAAAATTAGAATTAATGCTGTATAGGAGTCGGTTCGACAGAAATTATCATTGATCGTCAGTTCAAAGACCACTGTTACGCCATTTTTTTTAGATTGTTTGTACAACCATAATTTATATAAATAATAGTGAATATTTGTTATATTATGGAGATATTTTTCTTGGGATAGGAAGGAATAGGTATATCCTTGACATCGTATTGTTTTTATTTTTAGGCATCATATGCTGTTAAATTTTAGGCCATGCACTTTGGAACACCCTCTATAAGTATAGTTTGTTGATGGTAAGGCTGGAAACTTTATAGCTTTATAACATAGCATAACATAACATGTACAGAATTATTATAGTAATGATTAACTTTGTCTTTATAACCTGTAAAATTATGCACTATACAGTGATAACTTTATGATCAAATGTTAGAAATTGAGTTGATCACTATTCAATTACTTTGTAAATATATTGATTCTCAACAAACATTTGTAAAATTTTAAAAATACATTTCTATTTTTATTATTTCTTTATTTAGTATATTTTATTTCTTGTCTGTTGGATGTTTGTCTGGTATAAAATAAAAACGTATGTTAACTTTAAGCTAACTGAAAATTAATGAAAAATCTGCTAGTATAAGTGTATATAAAAGTTATACTACTCTTAAATTATACACAAAAATACATTTGTTTGTCTGAGAGACAACCTATTTAAAGAACATTTTTTTATATAGGTTGAATAATAGATGTAAAATATCCTATATATGTTGAGCAGCTCTCATTAAACTAATAACTCTGCTAATACTAAATACTATTTGATTATCCATTTTTTTACTGAATAGAAATATATGCAGTGGGCATACTTTTTCAATATAGTTTTAAAAACTATACACCTAGTGTTATATATATTTTTGTATATTATAGAAATTTTAAAAGTTGTTTAAATATGTATGTTTTTGTTAGTAATAAACCTTTAATCAGTAAAAAATCTTTTTTGTTGTCTTAAATTTATTATATTAAATATTAAACAGCTTCGCAAAATATTACAGTAAAGCATTGATTCTTTAAAAAACGGTTAACCGATCTCATTTGTATCCATATCCATAGATAGTAGAGGCCTGGTACTCTTGAAATGTTAAAATTTATAAAGATATGTATCGTCATTTCAGTTTACAACAGAAATTAAATAGATTAAGCATGCATTCTAAAATATTTTTTAATTAAAAAATATAGTTTGTCCAGCGAAAGAATATATGATTTCGACCTTAGATTTCGACAGATGATAGAATAATTAATCTACTTTTGAAATAAATAATGGAAAACTGTCACTTTCATTATTTTTTCATTCATTGAACAGAAAATACATTACGTAATAGGTATGTTTTTATTTAGTATATGTATGATTAAATACCAGCGTTGAAAAAAATCATGAATTTAAGTAGGATTTATAAACTCACAGTTGGATTTGGCTTTGGCGTTGGCGCCGCCGCCCAATTCTTAAAACTGTATATTACCATAAGAGCATTTATAAACACGGTTGGCGTTGGGTTGGCGTTGGCTTTGGCGCCCGGTTGCCGTCGGACTTGAATTATGTTTAACTTTTTACCGTTCGCGGCGGTTCGCCGTCCGTAGCACCACGTAGCAAATGACGTTACAGCCAATAGAATAGTAAAGAGCGATCACGTGTTGCTTTGTTTACATCTAGTTTTGAAGTATGCTAATTCCAAATTTATGGTCACTCCCAATAACCCTAATAGGGTAATTTCATCAAGACCATTACTTTCCAAATCCATAATTAAAAATCTCGAACAAAAAACCAAAACTTTAAACACTTTCGTCTCTAAAAACGCACTATAGACTCTGCTACTCTTAAGTAAAAAGTAAACAAAAATGTAAGGTTAGATCTGCCCAAAACGGCCAAAGCCAACTGTCAACCGTCGAGCAGTGCCTTCTATTAAAAGATCAGCCCACGGGCGGACTTTTGTTTACTTCATCAGCTGTACATACTTAGATATTGGGTTAGATTCCGTTTCATATTTTGTCGGTTGATTTTTGGTTTTAACTCTTTGATTTTTGGTATTATTTATTATTGTAGTGCAAAAACTAATTATTTTGGTGTTGAAGTGACATAAACTACTACCAGATATATGGTCACTCTCGGTTTCGCACAAAAAAATAGAAATTTAAAAATTACACGTTGTGCAAGTGATTTAACCTAAAAGTGCCCATACATTTTTACTTATCGTGATTTTTGTGTGTGTTTTTAAGACTCTAACAATTCATCAATAAAGCTTAAGTGGAGTGTGTTATTGGTGCTATGCCTCATCTTTGTTGTGTTCCTGGTGGAAAGGATGGTTACTAAGGATAGTTATTATACTAGGCAGCCTAAAGTGTCCGGAAGAGCAAGAAAAGTGGGTACGAGTTATAAATCAAGAGAATTTTATTGAAAATATCTTTAATAAATTTAAAAATAATATTCTCCCATGATGGTATTAATGAAAACTGACAATTATGTTTATTTTTATTCATATTGTGGAATCTCCACTCCAAGTGTTGCTGGTTCAGCTTCGATAGATTCAAACACGTAAGTAGGTATTATGATCTAGGGAAAAATAAAGAATATGTGTATTAGAGATCATGAAAAGATTATTATTTTGAGTTCAAATTTAAAAAAGATTTTTGTAAAGACAAGACTGATACAGTTTAAAAAGAAGAATGTGTTTTGTTTGATAATATATAATGTATGTTAAGCATAACATATATTTGTTCAGTAATTTTTAATGAATAGTATTGATTATTTATAATACCAAATTAATATCAAATATTTAAGTGATGGCTGAATACAATATGAATAAAATAACAATAAAATTGGTATATTTGCATAATACAAAATTAAGTTTTAAGAATAAAGGTGTTACTAAAAATACTAAGAAATTCATATTTCTTTGTTTTAATTGGTCTAATGTTATTTACATTTTACGTAAGAATTATACCGTATCATCGAAAAAAATCGGCGTCTAGTTGGCTTGGAAATGAACATCGATGCCATTCCCCTAAATAACTGTACACATAAAATAATTAACTAGAATTTTACAATCTTGGAAAATTTGATATTCTTGAACCTTGATTCTAAATATTTTAATTTTTGATTTTGATGGAATAGGTTCGGGAAAAACGCTGATTGATTTTCATTTGGTTTTTCATTATTTTTATTTGGTTTAAAAAAACGGTTCGGCTAACATTATAGCCTCCATCAGTGTTGTGTCATATGAAAAAAATAGTGTCGAATATAATCCAAAAAATTGCATATAAAATATTCACACCACGCACATAATGTTTACTGCGTACTCCATAGTCAATGTAGATAATTTTAGTGTTAAGAATAATAATTTTAAAAAATATGTGGTCATCTTTTGATAAGTTTATATTAGTTTATTAATTGCAGTAAACATTATGAGGTGTGAATTATATTGTATATGTAATTTTTTGGATTATATTCGACACTATTTTTCTCATATGACACAACACTGTGAAGGCTATAGTTAGCCGAAACGTTTTTTTTTAAACCAAATAAAAAATAATGAAACCCAAATGAAAACTTAATCAGCGTTTTTCCCGAACCTAAAATCCCAAGAAAATCAAAAATTTTAGAATAATTTAACATATAAAATGCCAGCGATCTTCATTTCATAGCCATCGCTGACGCCTTTTTTTAGATAATATTGTATTATTTGTAAATATAATTTTTCGAACATTGATACTTGCAAAATATACATATAAATTTTGTGAATGCAAATAATAATACCACTACTAATACCACTACTAATATATCACTATTAGTAGATATTAAATGTTTTTTGTTAAATTAGATCGATTTTCAAACCCCAAAATTTAAAATATATTTACATTTTACCCATTATCTTATGTACCTATACATTATTTGTACATTGTAAAACATTTGCTGCATTTGTATGGTTCATAGTTTATTTGCCAAAGTATTTATTACTATAAATAGGTATATATGTTGTAGTTATTAACTGTATATTATGTATATTTCATTTAAACTATATCATTTTTAAAATACAAACCAAAAATCTGAGGAATAATTATGTTTTCCATGTATTCTACAACATATTTATTAATCCGTTATATCTAACTAGCGTGACGTCATAAATCTCGCCCCCAGGCTGATCTTTTAATAGAAGGCATTGCGTCGAGTTTATAAATGCGATTTTGCGGCGCTACGAACAGTCGACGGCAAATCCAACGCCAACGCCAAATCCAAAGCCAACTGTAGAGTTTATAAATCGACCTTTAAAAAAAAATTATTTAAATCAATTTTTTTTTCTATAGAGAAAATATTATTTAAATCGGATTTCCTAACAATTAGGAGTTATTTCCAATTAAAGTCCTATCCTAAATGGCTAAATCTTCGAAAGCCTGTTCCATACTCGTAACATTAATAATTCTACGGCGCGTGTCATTTTTCCGCATCGGTCACCAATATATTCCGCAAAAAAGTTGCTCGCTTAGATCAAAAGGATGTTTTTTTCAAACAACACAAATGTATTAATTTTTGTCATTTTAGCGCCTAGGCATAAAAGTAAAGCACTTTTATGCCTAAGCACAAAAGTACAAAAATATATTATTCAATTGATATTGTGTCAAATTCAACGAATGTACCGGGTGGCCCACTAAGAATGGACGCCGGCTGTATCTCAGAAACTACTTATCGTATAACTTTGGGAAAACAATTCTAATAAGTAAATCGACTAAAAGCAATTGTCAGAAATTATTTTCAAATTCGAAAAATGTCCGCTAGGGGGCGTATCTGTGATGGCCAATCAGAAAACAGGATTTTTCTCAAAAATACTCAGGTGAAGAGATATTTTAAATATTACTACTGTAATCAATGAGAATTTTTTTTGGTATATAGTATTGTGCTCTATCTCATAAAATAAAGTGGTGGGGGAAGGTTAAACATGCTTTTATTAAAATAAGGATAACTCTGGTTTAGGTTAGCCGATATAAACAAACTAGGGCTTGTTTAAAAGAGCTTTCTTTCCTTAATAATCTCCAGTATAAATTTTGTTTTCATATAGTTTTCTTCATAGTAGCTAGAGTAGGGTGCTGTTTGACATCATAACAGATATTGCGCGTTTGTATAAAAAAATTAAATAGCAAGCTATGTTTCTTTTTGCACAGTTAAATGGAGCACAAAATTTCCAATATATCAGCGCAAACCGCAACTTTCTAGCTTCTCTCTAACGGGATATATTAAGAAAATAAATCATATTAGGCTGTGGCCTATGATTATAAGGTCTACAAATTATAGTAGTAGGCTAGGAAACAAAAACGGGTAAATTGGTTACGTCAAAATATCAAAACATATATTTTAATTTCATTTTAATTTAATTGTTATTTATCCATGTCCGTTCTTGATTCGATCCCATAAATAAAAACCCAGGCATATTGAATCCGACGACCTACGTGGCCATGAAAATATACATATATGTTGCTCCAGCGTCTCTATCTACTAAAGTAAGTGCTATCCAAGAAGCCCCACGCATTCATAGCAAAATAAGCGGCACAACTGCACCATCATGCTGATGAAATTGCAACAAATGCAATTTCATCATGGTCCCCTAACAAAATTGGCAATTCATCTCTTAGAAATTATGGATAGTTTATTTTATTCAGATGATTAAAAAAGTCCAATCATTCGCCATCCTAGAATTCCTGCCCAAACATTTACCGAACGGTCTTGGTGCTGAACTACTTGCATCAAGGGTAGATTTGGACCAGTAGTGCATATTGTTAAAATTCGCACCTTCGGTGCTATATGAAAAGTGGCACAGACGACATAAACTGTATGGATATATCATCAAGAAAATCTATGGATATATCATCAGATTTTTCTACATTTTTTTTTTAATTTTTTATAATTTTAAATTTTATTTTTTATAATTTTAAATTTTATTTTTTATAATTTTTAATAAATATAGTAAATCTATATTCTATCTGTATTTATATTGAGTTTATTTTCTTTTAATTTGCTTTTTTTGTTCTACCTGCTCTGTTACCTGGAATAAAATTGTTCAAATACCTCTTCTATTTATAACAATAAATTTGTACTAAATTTATTTCTTCTGGCAAACTATCAAACTCTGATGGTATTAACACTCATTAAGTTGAAGTACTTTAGTAGTTAATTATGTTTTAGCAATTGTATTACAAATCTAAAGTGTATAGTAATCTTTCAATAGTAATCATGTCGGGAGAACAATTGATTCCCGAAAATCTTTTAAAAGATGCGATAAAACCAAAGGACGGTGATCAATTATTTAGCCAGGATGAGGGATTCACTGCGCTTATGGGAGACGATGAAGATACGGTTGCTTTTGTATTTCAACATGTTAATCCTGAAGAGGATGGTACATTGACGAGCGTAGCTAAGACGACTAGAGGCATTCTAAGTTTTGGGGCAGTGGTACAAGGAGAAGTAGAGCACGAAGTTAGTACTACAGAGAAAAGCCCAGGTGTGAAACGGAAACCAGTAAGTTTTACTCCAGAAAGCACTCTAAATACATTATAGTTATAAGTATAGTCGCAGAGCTGCAAAAAGTCAGTTCCAAAAAGACTTAAATCTTAAATTTTAAGTCATTCCTAAAATCAAAATGATTTAAATCTTAAGTCAATTTCAACATAAAGTTTAAATGATATAAATCTTTTCTTCCAGTCAAGTCATTTTCGCAAAGACAAGCCATTTTTATGACTTAAGTCTATATTTTTTATTTCAATCACGATGATCTGCTAGTTAAGTCGGGAAATTGACTAGAATCAAAATAGTTACCGTCAAGTCAAGACAGGTATTCTTGTAGGTTTCTTGTGTTACCGATTGCCGATTTCCTTATTACCTATATTATTAAGTTATTTTTAGGTACAAATGAGATTAAAACCACATATAAAATAATTATATTACAGATTATAGACGTCATCGAATATATGACTATGTAATATATCGATGGCATAAGCTAAGGGCTGAAGGATTTTAAGGTATTCTTCAATATTTTCAAGATCAATTCAAAAGATTTAAGCCTTTTTAATAACTTCTTGTTCTATTTCGGAATAAAGATTTAAATCATAAATGATTTTGAACATTACTTAAATTTTAATTTAAGTCTAAAGCAGATTTAAAGTCAGCTTTCGAAAAAGACTTAAAATGAAATGACTTAAGTCATTAAAATTATAAACATAAAATGATTTAACTTTTTTGTGAGCTTTCAATTTTGTGAGTTATATATTGGAAAGACAAAACGTGCTCTAAATTACTACTTAACGAGCATAAAATATACGCAAAAAGGTGGAGTAATAAAGTGTGGTACTACAGAGTATATGTAGTCGAAACAGCACAACATAAAGAGGTCGAAAGCTCGGGTTGTCCACAAGAAACCTCATCGGAAAAAGTGTAAATTTCAAGAAGCCGTTTTTATATGAAATATTATCACCTTTAGCAATCTATGTATGGATATTTCTGTAATATAGCACCCAATTTTCAAATGTACCAATGCTGGCGTCCTAAGTGGATAAACTGATTATGATCATGCTATCCAGAACTCCGTTTGATTCTTTGCTCTAGTATTAATCTCCGTGGTTTTAGGATTTAGTTTAATTCACACTTGATAACGGCCAAACAAGTTAAACTAAATAAACACAATGGAAGACTGAAATTCTTTCAGTATCAAAATAGTCTGGATGGTAGCACAGTCGACACAATAGCATAATATACCAATATATCCAGTAGATTTTGTCACACAATTCTTGAAACATACTGCAGTTTTGGTCAAAGATACTGATGCAAAATGTGGTTTATTTAGAACAATATTTTTGTATGTATAATAAGAATTGTTCACTTATTTTTCTGTATTACCTAATAGAGGGGCTAATTTCTTGATACTGTTATTTCGCAAAATATATATACCGGGTGCGTCTCAAAAGTGGCACACCCCTATAACTTTTTTATTTTTTCAGATATAACAACGATATTTGGTATGTTAGTATATGACATAAATTGGGATTGATTGACGTATTCAATTGTTTTCGGTCACTTCCGGTTTCATCGGAAATGACTGCAACTTTTGATTTTTAAATATCTACCCTCCGTATTTTTTTATTTTATTCTATAGAAAATGACACTCTGAATCAAATGACATATCATATGTCAACTTTTGACATTTTGGCATATGGTTTATTTGAAATTGTAACATGCGGTTCATAACGATAATTTGACTCAAAATACCAAGTGTGTGGGATCAAATTATTCGTAAAAAAATGCTTTTTCCAAATATGCTAATGAGCCACCCTCGTTCCATTTGAAAAAAATTGAGATAGGATTCAAAATACGATTTGGGCATCTTCTAATCGGCCAGGACAAGACACTAAAAACATTAGACGATCAAATCTATTTTTCCAAGGCTCTTTGATTAAAAATTAGTGTTTTTAGCACAGCCATGACACTCTAGATTGAAATTTAAAATAGAATTATTTGTTTTTGAGTGACTATGTCAAAAATTGACATATGATATGTCATTCGATTCAGAGTGTCATTTTCTATTGAATAAAGTAAAAAAATACCGAGGGTGCCATTTAAAAATCAAAAGTTGTAGTCATTTCCGGTGAAACCGGAAGTGACCGGAAACAATTGAATACGCCAATCAATCCTAATTTATGTATTCCCAATATATACTAACATACCAAATCTCGTTGTTTTATCTGAAAAAATAAAAAAGTTATAGGGGGTGAGCCACTTTTAAGACGTAACCGGTATGTCTTTGAGTACTTTATTAAGTGACTAGATACTGCTAGAATTAGATCAATACTAATTTTGAATGATATTAGTATATGATATAGTAAAATGAATATTTTGTATTTATAGTTCAGACATTGGAAGCCTTCTCTCATAGTGGAAAAAACTGAAGTAATATGTTTTGAAGGCGATCAGGCTATGTTGCAGGTTCAAGTTAAAGGATATCCAAAACCTGATATGAGATGTATCTTTAAAGATATTCCAATTAAGCCAAGTTCTAAATACAAGTATGTATTTTTTATACTGTTATTGTAATTACAAATCTATTAATTATTAACCTTCTTTTAGAATATATCATGAAAATGAAGAACATATTTTGCTTCTGGTTATAAAAGATACTAATTTGGAGGATGTAGGTATCTATACCATAATGGCAGAAAATGAGATTGGATTTGCTTCAGTTGACATAAAATTAACTGTAATACGACAGAGATATCCTGAAATAAAAACAAAAGTTGATGATTTTTCTGTATGTGTCGGTCAAGTTCTTATTATACCTATTGAAGTAGATGGGCTTCCAAAACCAGAAGTCAAGTTTTTGAAAGAAGGCAGAGAAATTGTGCAATCCGATAATGTAAAAATTCTGGACAGTTATCCGCTGTTTACTTTGGTTATCAACAAAACCACCCTGCAGGACAGCGGTAAAATCGATAGACCAACATTATTCTTTTTCTTTAACTATAGCTTAACGATATTTTACAGGTATCTATTCAGTTGCTGCAATAAACAATCTATCTGAGGTAACTGAATATTGGGGACTTTATGTATATACTAAGCCTAATTTCATACAAAAACTAGGTCCTCATCTGATAGTATCCCAAAACGAAACTGTAACGTTAAAGACAAAATTTTTATCCGAACCAAGAGCTACAGTAAGGTGGCTTAAGGACGACCAAGAAATATTCAGTAGTCAAAGACTAATTATTGACGATGACGAAGGCTTTTATTTCCTAAAAATTAAAGATATAGTTATAAATAAATAAATAAATAAATAAATAATAGTTTATTGTCTAACAGGAAATCCCAAATTAAAGACAATTGTGTACACTAAAAATTCAGAACATTCATAATAAATGAAGCTAACATAAGCACAAATCAACCATAAAAGTACAATGCAAAATATAACAAATCTATATGTAATCTTAAAAAAAAAAATAACACCTAATATAAATATAAGTGAGAGCAAAACTCTAAATCTAACGAACTACAATAAAAATAAAAATATCACAAAATGTTAGGATTCTTCATTTGCCCGACCAAAACATTCCTGAATTGACGCAGTGAGTCGCCAAATATATCAACAGATGCCAGGCTCTCAACATCATTGAAATCAGTACAGGCCCGGTAGAGGGGTGCCTTACCGGCTAAACAAGTCCTGACGTTTGACAGGTAGAACGTGTTTTGATTTCTAGTACGGACGAGCGGAGCTGAAAAGTTCAGCCGAGCTAATAGCGAAGCGCAGTCCGCATGACCGTTACAAAGTTTATAAAGGAAAGATAAAGAGTGAAGTCTATGAGTTTGCTCAATAGATAAAAGATCAAACCTTTGCAACAGCCGTAAGTGGTTATAACCACGCTCTGGGAAAACACCATCCAGTTTGAACGAGAGATATTTTAGGAATTTACGCTGAACGTTTTCTAATCTCCGTATATGGACCTGGTGAATTGGTGACCAAATTTGAGAGGCATAATTGATTTTTGATTTCACAAGGCTCATGTATAATGCCGTTAGACATAATGGACTATTGAAACCTTCTGTGGATCTCAGGAGAAATCCTAAAGATTTAAGAGCGCCACGGAATACTTCATCAATATGTATGTTAAAAGTCAGTTTCTTATCCAAGTAAACAGCTAAGTCCTTAACATGCTCACAATTTTCCAGGATTGCGCTATTTATGGTATAGGGGTGGTCAAGTTCAATACGTTTCAGAGAATAGGACACTTTTTTACATTTAGAGGTGTTTAAAGCAAGTCGATTTTCCACGCACCAATTAGAGATAATATCAAGATCGGCCTGCAGACGGATGCAATCATCCTTACACCGGACGACACTAAAAATCTTCAGATCATCTGCAAATAAAAGCGAACAGCTCTTTAATTGGGTCACTATATCGTTTATGTATATTGAAAATATCAGTGGTGCCAAACAGCTGCCCTGCGGTGCACCGCTAGTGGCTATAAAGGGACACGATCTGTGACCATTATATTCAACATATTGCTTGCGTTGATGTACGTATGAGGAAAAGAACTTTATTAATTTATTATCAAATCCCATTTGTGACATTTTCTCTGCCATAATCCCATGGTCCATCTTATCAAAGGCCTTCGAGAAGTCTGTGTAAACAGCATCAACCTGATAACCTTCATCGATAGAGTTATATGTATATTCAAGAAAGCATGTTAACTTTGTCACAGTTGATCGCCCTGGAAAAAAGCCATGTTGAGATGGTGTTATCAAATTTTTAATTTTGAAAAATAGTTTATTATGTATACACATCTCGAAGGCCTTTGCAATGTTGGATAGAATTGAGACCGGACGATAATTCTCAATGATATCTCTGTTGCCCGTTTTAAAAATTGGACAAATCTTGGCTTGATTCCAAACACTAGGAAATGTTTGTGTTGAGATAGAAAGGTTAAAAAGTCTAGTTAATGGTTCAGCCAGAACAAAAGCGCAATCCCTTATAAGAAAGGAAGGTATTTTATCTGGGCCAGCCGTTTTTCTATTTTTAGGAACTTTAAGGCCTTCAACACATCTTCGGTGTCAAATGTCTCCAAAGAAATACTATTACCACATTCATACGAGACATTGCCAGGGCTTGACACAATATAAACACCTTGGAAAAAATTGGCAAAAAGAATTTACAATGTCAGTGGGATTGTCAAGAGGAGTATTATCACTGTTTCTAAGAGTGCCAGGAATACGAGATCTATTCTGTTTCTGCTGAATATATTTCCAGAATTCTCTGGGTTCAGCTCGTAGTGAGTCCTGAGCAGCGATTATATACGTTTTATAAGCACTATCAAGTTGTTGCTTAATCACTGCTCTAAGAGTTTTAAAAGCCCCATAGGATTCCGGAGATCGATTGATTTTCCATCTCTTAAAGATTCTAGATTTCTCCTTAATGTTACTGATGATTTCGGATGTATACCATGATGGGTAGGAACACTTTTTGTTATTTTTATACTGTTTGTAGAGTGGGATGGATTGGTCAAAGAGTTCATACAGTCTATTATAGAAAGCCTCGACTGCTGCGTTAACGTTTTCCATGCCTTCTAAAAAGTCCCAGTTAGTGGTAAGGATAAGATTATAAAGATGCGGGTAGTTGGCTTTACTGAAGTTATAGTTTTTTGTCGGAACAGTAGAGGGAAAGTTTGAATGGGGTTTCATCGGCAAATCAGGAATTATTAGTAGTGTTGGATGATAACCATCTTCCTTGACAAATGGAAAAGTGGTAAGGACTTCTGAAGGCAAGTTAGTAATAACTAGGTCAAGAATAGTATTGTTTTGATTTTGAATTCTATTACATTGCTTAAAATCAAAAAAAGCGAGAAAATCGTTTAAAATCTGAAGTTTTTGACAAGTTTCAGTAGGTGAATCTGAAAAATGAATATTGAAATCGCCTAATAAGATTATGTCGCGTCCATAGAGAAATGTTAAGGACTCAAAAACATCAAAAAATACACGAAAATGCTCAACTGAAGTGTTAGGCTGAAAGTAAACTGCAAACATATACAGAACACCCCCATCACCCGCAACACTCACCCCAACAATGTCGAGAGCCGGCAGCGCATCTTCAAAAATGGACAGGTCCAATACGGTCGATTGAGATAACTTCGGACTGCCAGCAAAACTCCACCGCCTCTGGTAACATTCAAGACTTCCAGATTGCGATCCTTACGATACAAATTGTAGTTGGTGTCAATAAGCTCAGCATCATTCAGACCAGACTGCAACCAGGTTTCAGAAATTGCTATAATGTGGTGTTCACACACAGATATAGACTTGTAGAATTCATGAGTCTTAGTGTTCAACCCACGAACATTTTGGTAGGCGATGTTTAAGCCGGACTGATTATTTGCGTTCCCTGGAAGTTTAAATGATTCACGTCCACACTAACGATCCTTGGACTGCCATTAACATATTTAATTTTTAGATTGGATTCTCCGGCTGCTAGTCTATCAATGAGGCGTTGTTTAGTTTCTCTGTATTCTTGGAGTTGCTTGGGTGTCTTGTCGGAGCTGATTGATAGACTGGATAAGTTTGGTGTGTTCCTCAGAATCTTAGAATTTGAGAGTACTCTCTGAGAAATTTGAGAACCACAAATCACCTTTATAGGGCGTGATTTATTCTGGGCAAATTTTCCAAGACGAAAGGTCCTGATGCTGACTGGATCAACGCTGTTATTTGGTAGTGTAGAATTCAATACATTCAGTGCAGTAACTTTGTCTTGATCGCTTATGGATTCAGAGTTAGAATCTGGTTGTCCAAATATGATAAAGTTCCCTCTTCTCTTTTCCCGGATAGTTATCCAGGATGCAGCTGTTTATAAGTTTACAGCCGAAAATACCTACGGGTTCATTGAAGACTCGGTGAGAATTGATGTTAAAAAAGCACCTACAATTTTGGAAGCATTTGAGGATGCAGAAGTTCTGGAGCAAGACGTTTACCATATTATACACACAGTTGAGTTTGGAATCAAACTTGAAGTATTTCCTAAACCTTCTGTAAAATGGTAACTTGTTTAACAATTTTTAATAAAAAATAGTGTTTGAATAAGTGTTTATTCTGCAATACGACCTGATTTCTTATTATGGTCATAATTCTAAACATTTAAGAGACATTTAGAAATATTTTTTCAGGTTTTTAGATGGTATCGAGTTATTATACGATCGTCAAGAATTTACCAGAATAGAAACACTGGATACAGTAAAACTGATAGTTAATGAACCGACAACGCATTTATCTGGTGAATATCGTTGTATTATCAGTAATGAATGTGGAGAAGCAGAAGCCAAAGCAAAATTAACTGTCAACTGTAAGAATAATGAGAAATGTATCTGCAGAGTACTGCAAATATATTTCTCAAGTACTTAATATTAGTATTTTCCAAAGTATGTAATATATCGATAATTCCAAACAGGTTTAATTGGATTTGATGATGTTAATATTTTCTTCAGGCTATTTTAAGAATAGTTAGAGGGCAAAAAGTTACTATTGAGATTGATTATTATACTTTAACAGTTAGTCGAAATACCAAGTGTGTAGTACCAAATTATTCATAAAAAATGTGCCATTTGAAAATCATTAGTTCATTTACGGTGAAACAGAAAGTGGCCGAAAACAATTGAATACGTTAATAAATCCTTATTTATGTCATATACTAATATACTAAATCTCGTTTTTATCTCAAAAAAATAAAAAAGTTATAGGGGTAAGCCACTTTTGAGAAACACCCGATATACATACAGATTACTTTCGGTTTGTTATTAAAGTTACATTTCCTTCTATATTGCCATGTTAACGAAAAACTCCTTATCTGATGAGCTGAACAAGTTAAGGTTATTGTTGCTGTTGTTTTACAATTTCACTCTTCTATAACATAACCATCAGATTTACACTTGAGGTGAAACTTTAGATCATTATAATTCCCAAAATAATGTAAAAAGGAGGTTTCGTTTCTCATTTAGTTGGAAAATACCTTGTAGTACCTAATACTTGTATCTCAACTTTGTAGTAAAGGCGATTTTCTTTAACACGGCAATAAGTTTCCGTTATATAAGAATTTAAAATATCAAAGAGCGCGTCATCTGTCGATCCTCTATATCTTTGAATTTCTTCCTAAACGGCCACTACATCACTACACTACTAGCGAAATAGGTCGAAGTAGGTCAAAGTCAAATAGTGAAGAGGGTTATTTCGTGGTTCTTCGTCTAATGAAAATAACCCTAGGAAGCAAAGGAGGCAAAGGAGGAGGCAAAGTTAGTCGAAGAAATACGAAATCGGAATTATTATCCCTCTTTACTACTCCACCTTGACCTACTATACAGGGTGGCGCACCTCATTCGTCTCGGTTAATTATACCGAAACAGAAAGATGTAGAAAGAAAAGAAAATATTTTATGGGTATATGTGGGTAGGCAATGTGCATAATTTAAAATTATTTTAAAATGTATAGGGTAGTCAGAACTAAGATCCATACCAAAGATATATTTTTTCTTGTAACACACGGTATTTTATTTCATTTTTGGGTTCTTGGATATAAAATAACGCATTTATTATACGAGTTTAATATGTTTAAAAGCTTTGGTTTTTGAGACATTTAAAGATATATTTAAATATACATGCTATAATAAAAAAGTTTGTCAACACCTTGTATATTACTTTTCAGAATTAATTCTTGTCCTGACTTTCAAGCCAGAGAAATAAACTTTACTAAAAAATTTGATTGCTTTCTCAAATGTATACAGGGGTATCAAAAATTGCTGGTCTATTTTAAATATTTATTTTACATAAAAACTTCATTATTTCAAACGCAGCACTATGTATTTTTTTAAATAAGTCGAAGCAGATTTAAATGCTCTTTCAAACTATATTAGGGTTCCTATACCTATCTGACTCAGATTTTGAATAAAAAGCGATTTTTCAAAAAAATGGTAATCAAGATGGCTGGTGTCGCCATGACAATTTTCTAGTGACACTATTAGTAGCTATTTTCAAAATCGACATTAGTGTGTGGACTTTATTTAAATTTATAACAGGTTATTTTTATTAATTTACCCACAATAAGGTTAATAAAAAGTATTTATTATTCTATCAATAAAAGTGAAGCAGTATCTGCTGGCGGCGGCGGAAGGAATGGATATGTTACTATAGTGATTTCATTTTGTGAAGACAATTGCTTGTTGGCCTGAAGGGTTTATGCTCAAAGATATCCAAATAGGAATTTTCTTGACAAGCGTTCCTTTGAAAATCTACTTTTCCTATTTCGCAGAGCTGTTAGTGTAGTATATGAAAAACCTATATTAGACAGAAACCTGTCGTTGAAAGTGAAGAAAATAAATTTACCTTAATTGGTTCTTTTATAAAAAATTCAATATATCTAAAAGTCATCGTAATATAAATCAAAGAACTACTATTTATTGTTCTTAATAAAATAATAAATACTTACTTATTAAACTATTATAAGTAAATTAAATAAAGCAATAAATTTTTTTAGTAAAGTTTATTTCTTTGGCTTCAAAGTCAGCACAAGAATTAACTCTGAACAGTAATGTACAGAGTGATAACAAACTTTTTATTATAGCCTACATATTTAAACATCTCAAAAATTAAAGCATTTAAACATATTAAACCCTTATAATAATTACCTTATTTTATGTCTAGGAATCCAAAAATGAAATAAATTACAGAGTGTGTCTTCCATAAGAAAAAATATAACTTTAGTATGGATCTTAGTTCTGACACACCCTGTACATTTGAAAATAATTTTAAATTATGCAGAGGCTAACCGAGGCGAATGAGGTGCGCCACTCTGTATATCTATGTATACTACGGGATATTTAGCGAGTAGTGTAGAGGCAGTTATATAGTTCTCCCTTACGAGCCTTATAACTTGGTCGTTTCTTAAATTATCGAGAGATGTCGCTATAGGAATTTCATTATAACTTTCGTAACACTACTATAGCTTAATTTTTCTTAACTAATTAATTTAGGTTCTCCAAGAATTCTGGTCCATCTTAACGATCAAACTGTTGAAGAGCATTCCAGTATTTATTTCGAAATAGTATCTAGATGTTTTCCCGCGCCTAGATTTAAATGGTTCAGAAATGGACAAGAATTGGATACAGACGACCGAATTCAAATGGGACTTGAGATGCATGGCAAAAAACAGTACAAAATTATTTGTTCCGTTAGTGAAATTTCTTATGCAGAAAGGGGAGAATATGAAGTAGAAGTAATCAACTCATTTGGATCGATTAGAAGTCGATGTGCTGTAAACGTACTGAGTAAGAATGATGCTTGTTTCAAATTGTCTATTGTAAATGTCGATTTTTTTCAGCTAAACCAGTTATACTTGAAGCCCAAATGAATGACATGGTCATAAGAGAAGATTCGGATATTACTTACACAGTAAGGGCGTTTTCTAATCCCCCTCCCGAAGTCTTTTGGACATGGGAGGGTGAATTAGTAAATATGGACGATTTGAAAGACAAAAATAAGTTGATTACGTCCAATAATGGTATGGATTTTAGAATGGGAATTAGGAAAGCGAAAATGGTGGATGCGGGAACGTATCAGTGCGTAGTGAGAAATTCCGTTGGACAAACAAAACATAGAGCCGCCTTAGCTATTGTGAGAAAAAAACATGACGAGTCAGATGATTCTTAAGAATATATTTTGATTTTGATCCTACAGGGTGACAATATGTAAAGTCACAATCGAGGAATATCTCTAAAAACTACTTTTAGGAAGATTTGATCTTATTTAATGAAACTTACCTTGCATGGCAGATAGTTTATAAAGTTCGTTACTTTTTCTTTACAACCTTGTTGTAAATTTTATGATTCATTTTTTAAAAATTGTAATTTTGTCTCTCAGTTAGACAATCTTATTTTTTATAAACTTCTCCAAAGAAAAACCAATGTTCCCTTCTAATCTTCGATATATATTTGATATATTTCTGGTTGTCTAAGAGATATTTCCAATTTATAATTTTCAAATTTGTCAGCCTGTAAATGCTTTTTTGTTAAAAGTCTATCAAATATTCTTTTAACGGAGTATTTTGAAATATTTATGCAACACTATTTATTCATTGATTATTGAGTGTTATTATTAAATACTTAAAATTTTTATGTAAGAGTAGTAGAATTTTATTTATCTTTTTGTATATAAAATTTAATAATAATAAATAATAATAATATAACTAATTATGATTATAAAAATATTTCAGGTATTTTCTTCACTTTTATTTTATGCCTTTGGACTCATATAGTCTATTCTATTATTCCCTATAAAAAATATTTTTTCTTCGCATACAGAGTGTCCCAATATTCCGTGGATATAGAACTACTACCATAGATATATACCTGGATATAGAACTACTACCGTATGATCGAAAAAAACGGCGTCCAGTTGGCTGGGAAATGAACATCAATGACATTTCCCATATAAATTTACATACAAAATGACAGCGATCTTCATTCCATAGCCATCGCTGACGCCGTTTTTTCTCGATCAGACGGTATAAGGAAACGAGTAGATTTACTCCTTGTTAAATCCTTTGTTCTTTTTCTGCCACTTTATATGACCTTGTTCTCGCATCCCCCCAATAACCACACAATAAGGCACTCCATTTTTGTCAATCCGTCTCTGTGCTTTAAATTCATTGTTGTCAATCATGGACATATTCAGTATCGCCGGACTAACGGGAATTTAAATTTCCTGGGGATTGAGGTGGTAATGGGTGGTAGCTCTGCTGTAAAAAATGTCAAGTTGCCACATTTATTTATTTATTTCTTGATATTGTCGTTCGTTTTGACTAGTTTTGTATAAGGAGTTTTTGGTTTAAATAAAGTGTTATTGTGACACTTTAAGCTTAAAAATGTTTAGTAGCAGACCTTGCAGTCGAACATTGTTCATTTTTGAACCTTTATTAGTGCGAAGTGTACAAGATGGCTTAATAGCCGTAAAAAACTCATTGCAACTTTATTAGGATATTTAGAACGGGAGAGCGGTAGTAATGGCTCTTTATGTCCCCAAAGTGCTGTTAAGAAGGTAAGTTTTGTTGAAGTAAATAATAACTGTTTATATGTTTATAATAAATTTGTTTTTGTTTCCTACAATATTTTGATTAAAAGATAATATGTAAAAGTTGGCAACGCTGTGCCGATAGAGCTTAATCACGTGACTAAAAGTTTATTTGATATGAACTATATGTAATGTGCCACAAATGATTTTTGACAATATAAGCTTTAAGAATTTCACGCTCATTTACTTATTTTGATTCCTAAAATACTTAGCAGTCTTGTGTCTACAAAATATTTGGACACCCTGTAGTGTTTAAATGAAAAAAGTCATAGAAATAGAAAGAAGTCTTTCTGGTATCTTTTATTCAATAAATTGTTATATATTAATATACAGTTTTGTTATATTGTATAATTATATAACGGAGAAAATAAAAATTAGTATTCCGATAAGTTTATTTATTAACCTGATATATTCTCTAGTCGCTATCGATGTCGGTTGAAGGCAAATTCATATCTGTGGTGCATTTATTCAGATGTTCCTCCCTCAGAGTTTCGATATTATTTTTTCTAATGACGTCTGCAAAAAATGCGTGCGATGCCTTTTGGTCCTTGCATCCAGATGATGGCCTTCCCACCATCCAGTCTCCAACAATTGCTTCGCTACCTTCACACACTCTACATTCTCCTATTAAAAATAAGACAGAAATCATTGCAAATTCGATTTTGTTTATAGTCTAGCGAGAGACTATTCCGTATGATCGAAAGAAATGGCGTCCAGTTGGCTTGGAATTGACGAGGAGGAATATTTCTTTCACAATTTTACATACAATATGACACCGATCTTCATTTCCAAGCCATCTGTGTCGGCAAAAAACGGCATTAAAGACGGCTGCGGATGACAATAAAAAATCTTGGCTAGGTCAATCTCTAGACATCGTTTACTAAAAATTGATATAAAATTTGTCAAAAATTAACACCAATTATAAAAAGATTGAAAAAGGATAGAACGGTTCCATATACACAAATCTATTTCCAAAAAAAAAAAAATTCGCGAATTTTAATCTCAACCATTAAAAGAATAATTTTTCCTCGATATAAAAATAAATTACAATCTTCTTAAAACCAACTGGCAGTACGCGCCATTATAAATTAGATAAGAGTACGTGGCAAGTAAATGACATCTTATTTTTGATAGCCAAAATCATCATCGATTGCCATTTGACGGTTGCCCCAACCGTCTTTGACGCCGTTTTTTTTTCGATCTTATGGTATAATTTCAGCTTTTCAATAAAAAAGCTAAGGAAGATCATATCAACAAAATTCTTGACCGCGATGGAGCAATAATATGGCTGACTTAATTCCGGTTCAATGGCAAATCATTAATTCTTTAATCGAAGTGGCTTAACAAAAACAAAACCGGAATCATCAAACCAGGAAGGTGGGTGCATCTACGAGGTACCTTGCGAGTGCGGTGACTCGTATAATTGAGAGACAAAACTTTCTCTACATGTACGACTTGACGAACATAAAAAACATACACAAAGAGGTGAAACAATGAAGTCGGGCATTGCAGATCATGTGTGGTCCAAGCACCACAACATAAAATGGTCGGAAGCCCGGGTTGTCCACAAAGAACCCCATTGGAAAAAGCGCAAATTTAAAAAGGCCGTATTCATTTATAACAATAAGAAAATCTTTAGCAATCCAAATATGGAAATTTCAACAATATTGCAACTCATAAAACGCTCCAATGCAGGTATTCTTAGTGGAGGACCTCATGCTTAACTGCATCCAACTAATTTACGGGTGACTACTCGGCTCTAGTATATATAACTCAGTAGTTTTAGGATTTAGTTTAGTATATTTTATTCTGTAAACTTTGGTTTAGTTTACACTCGATGACGGTCAATGATTCTTCTCACCGAAACGTTGTGTAAGCAAAATAAATAAAACCAGTGGAAGTCCGAAATTATTTTAGTTAAAAAAAATTATTTCACTTCGCTGTTAGGTATTATAGCAGTAGATATTTTAAAATTTCAGTGATTTGAACTGAGATTCGTATCCAGAAAATTTTATGTTTATCAATAACGAAAGTATTTTTAAATTGTTTACAATGCTGGCCCTTAATATTAACAAGACTGTAAAATATTATGTGGATAAATTAGTTTACCTAAAAACGCAACAATCCTGTGATTCTTTTGGCACACTCCAGAAATAATCACTTGCGCTTTTTGTTCAAAAGGTATCAAAATAGTGACGTTCCATCTTGTACGCTGCATAAAACCTTCTTCGGTGGCAGGTTCTGTTTTTTTCATAATAATTGTATCCTGGTCGTCGGATTTTCTGATATGAAAACTAACTCCTGCAGCCTTACTATCCCAAAAGCCATAAACACTGCATAGAGCCCCTGAAAATAATAGGCTGAAATAAAATACTTGAAAGATGTATTAGAAATAGATTTCATCAATTTTTATACCGCTCTGAAGCCCAGGATATACCTGACAAATGTTAAACAGCTTCGACACTATCCCTGAAATGTTTTACGAAATATTTCTGGAAATATTTCATGAAACATTTCGCAAAACATTTCTGAAAATAGTACGATAAATATAAGTCCGTGTTATATTATCTGTGCCTGTGCTTACAGATTTCTCTTAAGAACAATAAAGGAACATTGTTTTTAAAAAATGTCCGAGGAATATACTTTTGTTGACATCGATCGGGTCATTCAATAATTTTCCCAACTAGCTCGATATATTGATAATGTTACCAATATTATTCATCAAGCAATCCTACTGTTATATTAATCAATTAACCGTAAACAAACATATTATATACAATTTTATATACTGGGTTTTGCATCGTCGAGCGGGACATAGGAAATCCCATGTAAATTTTAATGGGGTCAATTATTGGCTTCCCTAATTATTTTAGAGAATAATTCTATTTAGGTTTATTGAAGAGCACTAAAACCCACATTCAAAAGAATAACTTCAGATATTTTTGATTAGCCCGTTTACGAGTTACCGCCGATTTCTTTTTAAATATTTCTCCTTTCTTATGGCCCTGTATTTACTTATGAGCACCAGTCAAAGTAAAAGATAACTGTCAAATGAAGTTGTCACTTCAGAAATTTATCTATTTAGTGCTTTATTATTATTATTAAAAACTCATACCTACATCGAAAATAGTAGTCATGAATTACACTAACGAAGAAAAAGTATTGATGATTAAATGGTATTATCAAGAAAATAGTTATCAAAAGGTGTCGGACATGTTTGCTGCTCTGTATTCGAATAGACCGATACCTGGAAAATCTACAATCGCAAGGAATATCCAGAGATTTGAGACCAAAGGTACCCTAATAAATAACTGCAGATGTGAAGCAAGGCAGGAAGAAAAAGAAGATGCAAGAAATGATACCGACTTGGAAGTTTTATTGTGCGTGGAAGAGACCGGTGGAAAGATCAGCACAAGGAAACTTGAGGATGAAATAGGAATAGATCACACTACAGCGTTTCGAATTTCGAAACGACATAAATACTATTCCTTCAAATATGAAAAGCACCAAGAGCTACGAGATGGGGACGAAATACGGCGGCAGGCGTTTTTTTTTGATATGATGGAAAGAGCAAACGCGGATAGGGAATTTTTAAAAAACATATGTTTCACTGACGAATGCACGTTTACCTTAAACAATGAACCCAATGTTCAAAATTATCGATAATGGAACAAAGAAAACCAACACAGGTTTGTCGAAACAAGGACGCAATATCCACAGAAAGTAAATGTTTGGGCAGGGATATTCGGACACAATATTATCGGGCCATTATTTCTTACGCGAAATTTAAATGCAGAATATTATTTGGAACTACTCGAAAATCATATTTTACCTGCTTTACATGATGCCGCTAGGGAAAATCAGGAAGTTTGGTACCAAATGGATGGCTGCCCGGCACATAGTACCCTGGCTATATTTAGACAAGAGTTTGAACGGAAACGATATTGGCCTAAATCATACAATAAATTGGCCAGCAAGGTCTCCTGATATTTCGCCAAATGATTTCTTTCTCTGGGGCCATTTAAAAAACAGGATATACAAGGATAAAAAATACCCAAATCTAGACGAGTTAAAAAATGCTATTTCTGCCGAATGCAATAGAATTTCAGTTTACCAACTAGCGAATGTAAGTAGAGAATTTTATGATCGCCTGGATTATTGTCTAGCAGTCGATGGAGAAATATTTGAACATCTTAAATCCTAAAGTTCTAACAATTTCATAGTGCCTAAATTAATAAGTTATTGAATATTGTAATAATAATTATAATTAATCTTGTATTGATTACTTTATTTTACTTTAATTCATATTAATTTGTATTTATAAATACATCTTTAAGATTTCCGATGTGGGAATGAGTTTTCAATAATAATAAAGCACTAAATAGGTAAATTTCTGAAATGACAACTTCATTTGACAGTTATCTTTTACCTTGACTGGTGCTCATAAGTAAATACAGGGTCATAAGACAGGAGAAATATTTAAAAAGAAATCGGCGATAACTCGTAAACGAGCTAATCAGGAATATCTAAAGTTATTCTTTTGAATGTGGGTTTTAGTGCTCTTCAATAAACCTAAATAGAATCATTCTCTAAAATAATTAGGGAAGTCAATAATTGACCCCATTAAAATTTACATGGGATATCCTATGTCCCGTCCGACGATGCAACACCCGGTATATCTAATATTACCATCGTTAGCAGATTTTTGTTTCCTTTGCGAGTTAATAAGGCTCTCAACGTCTTCCAAAACTTTGCTCAACGCCGTAGATTCACTTGTAGATTTAAGTTTATTTTTTATAACACTATCAACTACAGTTTCTTCTTTTTCTGAGATTTGATCACCGTCGCCAAATCTACCTCTGTGAGTCGTCTCCTCATTATTATTTCTATTATCATCTCTGTCCCTAAAAATAACAGGAATTTTAATAAAATTGCAAATCCATACTACACGCATACTTTTTATAACATAGATATGCCAAAATAGCGACATTTAAAATTTATAAATATAAAAAGAAATAATATACTATACAGGGTATCAATGAGCGTATGCCCTAAAATGCTTCCCAAGGAAATTACAGCTGCCAAATAATGTTCGGTTTGAAAAAAAATAGCAATATGCGATTTTCGCTGAAATTTCAATCTTTTAAAAAATACAAGAACTGTTCTGCTGAATGAATGGCGATACTTTACGAGATAACTACTAACCGAGAGCTATTCTTAGTGGAACACTTGGTACATGAAAATGGCTGTTGTAATTAAAAAAAAATGATGTATACAACAGAATATTTTTGGATATCCTTTTTTATCTCCTCGTATACAACGATGATATTGGACTTACTCGAACTAACGGGCCACCTTGTATATTATCTCGATGAATGCAAGCGAATTTCCAAAATATAAAAAGTAATTTCGGTGTAAAAGAACTAGGAATTGTTTTCTATTGTTAAATCAAAATTATATTCAGTAAATAATAGATAATTTATAAGGCAGATGCGAAAACGAGTACCTACTTAAGAGTAACGTTATTCTCCAAAGGAATAGGTATGATTAGTGGAACGACCGTGAAATTTTCACCTAGAACAGTGTCCCTATTGCTTATGTCTTGTTCGATTTCGTTTAAAGGCACGACCTCGCCATTTTTAACTGCATACATATTATTATGACCTTGCCTTTTCTTCCTGCGACTCCTGCGCGCTTCCTGGATGAACTGGCGCAAATCGTCGCTCATGGGGTTCGTGCGCAGGTACTCTCTGGTTCTGCGGGCTAGTTCCCTTCTGGCCTTCCATAACGTTCGATCATCCTCGGATATGCTCGTTTCAAGTAGGAAGATGAGCAGGAAAATAACGTTGTAAAATATTACCATGTCATGTAAATTGAACGATTTAAACAAACTTCAAAAATGACAAGCGTTGAAAGACGCGATAGATTCGATAGATTTTTATCGGAAATTACAGTAGCGCTTCCTGGTATTTTTTATTAAATAGGTATTTAAAAAAAACTACTTATTTCTTAAGCCGAGGAGACACTTGACGAACGATACCATTCGTTCGCATTAGAGCCATTGGCATTGCTACATGTTTGCATCAGGTGACGGTGAGACATTTGAACGAATACTTTTCGTTTAGGTTTGGTCATTGCCTGGAAACTTATATGGTGAAATTTTGATAAAATAATTTAGTACTCACTAAAAACACGGTATGTCGCTAGTGGTAGGAAAAATAATTTTTAGAGGTTACTAGTTTATTTGGTTGCCTGTGATATGCATATACAGGCTGTTTCCTAATTAATCTAAAAAATAAAAAATCTTTAGAAAACGGCTTAAGGCGGGCTCTTAATAAGTATATTTATTTTTTTCTCGGCAACTGTTTGATGAACAAGAAAAACTCAAAAGATCAATTTTGTTGAAAAAGGATGGCCAGTCAAGAAAAAAATATATTTTCTTTAAAAAAGCGGTAGTGTACCATTTATTTTAAGCAAAGTATCGATTTTTTTTTAATTTTTAACACCCTGTAGATCAGAAAGGAAGTACTTTAGACCTAATGGTTATATAAAAATTGTTTTAAGAATACATGAGGAATCACATCACAATTTTTTATACTAATTAGAAAACACCCTGTATATTGTCAACTTGACAATGATTGTTGATAAATCAAAAAATACCTTTTCTGTAAAAAAAGCCCGATTTTCGGAGGAAAAATTTTGGTTTTTATTGAATTTGGCCCTGCGTCTGCAAATACCGGTACGTTTTTTAATATTCTATCTATCTAAATTTTAAATATCATAGTCAGAAATAGTTTTATTATTTATTAACTGTAAAAATGGTATACTTATAAGTTTTATTAAATATTGTGATTTACTTTCTACCTTGTAGTCAAAATTTATATTTAATAAACTGTAAAAGAATATATATATAAAACATAAGAATATATACATATATTCTTATGTTTTATTAAAGTTACTCTGATATACTAATATATCAGCGTAACTTTAAAATCCTTTGAAATCAAAACATAAAAAATATTTACAGCAGAAAAGGCGAAGGCGCTGGGTTAAATGTAGTCTCTACTAAGAACACGGAGGGGCGCTTTGACCCAAAATTTTACTACATATTAAGTTTCATATCTATCTTAATAGAAGATTATTTTCTTTTATCTATGGGTTTGGTTTGGCTTTTCACTTCCTGCATATACAGGGTTGTTCACCACATACGACACGGAGTATTGTAGCTAAACGATTAGATTTTTACAAATTGTAAGTTTTGGGTTCGTTGAAGGACTATTACAGCTATAATTTAAAAATAATTTTACAAGATACAGAGTGTCCCAAATAAGTAAAAAATATTATAGCTGTATTTTTTTAAATGGAACATCCTGTATATTATTCTATTTTTGGATTCTACGATTGAAATAAAGGTAAATTTGATTAAGATTTATCATACTTAAATCTTACCGTTTTTGAAATATTTCCAATTTTCTGAAATTGCAGTAAAAAATTTAAGGCTTCATTTCTCCGAGGCTATCGAAGTTTTTAATACTAAATATTTACTAAAGATTATTTATTGATCAAATATTATGTTGCAATAATAAAAATTATACTACCATATACAGAGTGTCCAAAAATTTATATTAAATAATTGCTAGCTTTAAACAGCAATAACTTGTTTAATTTAAATGGAACACCCTGAACATTTTACGTGAAACAGATACACAATTTAATTGTCTATCAAACTGTATTATAACATTTTTTACCTGTCTCTTCAAGTTTTCGGAGAAAATGTATTTTCTTATAATTTAGACCTTATTTATCACTATATCCATGGAATATTGACATTTTAGATTTTTTTAAACCAACGTGCATATGTACAAAATATACAGGGGGTAAAAATAATAATATTGCAAGCCAATTTGTTTACAAAAGGAAAACTATTTAAATCTTTGTAAAAGAGTATACCAATTAATTATTACCTTATTACCACCATTATTTCCACCCAAAAATTAGTTAATTACATACTTGTTGTGTAAGCGCTTTAACTAATAAATTATTTTAAATAAATGTAGATTTGACTCAGAAATCAATACGATAATAAATTATGAAAATGAACATTTCTGTTGTTATAAATAAGCATTTGTCAAAAAATGAAATAAAATTTATAAGGTGTTACTTTTTACCACACTGTCTAATACACAAACAAAATTCAGTTTTTTAGTATTTGGAGCAATTATTATTAATCAACGTAAACAGTCAATTAATGTAGTTTGAATACTCGGATCATATTAATTCGCCCTCTTTAACATAAAATATTTAAGTAAACAGTTTTTTTTATTTTTTAATGAAATAAGGGAACTATATCGACAATATTAGTATTTGGTACTCTTTGAAAATTTGTTACATCTTTAACAATAATCTAAAATGTCAATATTCCATGGGTATAGTGATAAATGCGGTCTAAATTATAAGTCAATGCATTTTCTACGAAAAGTTGAAGAGATAGGTGAAATATGGTATAATACAATTTGATAGACAGTTAAATTGTGCATCTGATTTTCCTAAAATATACAGGTTGTTCCATTTAAATCAAACAAGTTATTGCCGTTTAAAGCTACTAATTATTTAATATAAATATAAGCACTTTGAAGACGAGCTGCTGAATATTTGTGCGCAAGTAAGAACGGTTTGGAGTGGTTAAATCAAAACGAAAGTGAAAGAGCAGACGATTAATAAACGAATCACATTTTAGTCGAATCGTGAGAATCGATTCACTAAAGAAAATCGTAGCCATCAGTATAATATACAATACGATAAAATAGGCGTGTTGGGAATAATCAGATGATTTCAATCCTCGAGTATTGATCCTCGAGGATTCCAATAATCGGATGATCCTTCGAGGAATCCCCGGTTATAAAATTATTTCCGAAACTGTCCAAGGCTTGCATTATATCTTCGAGAATATCTCGATCGATACCAATATAATATACGGTGCTGTTTGTCGACACACTATTACCATGTACCTTAATGACCTGAAGCATATTATAATAAAAATAAGTACGTAATATAATTATATTAAAGAGGATTTTTAATAATTTTTCATATTTTCGTATATGTAATTTGATGTGGAAAATAAAATTTTCATTAGTTGCACTTAAAAACCTGTTTTTTTTTGTTCCTATCACTCTGTTTTTGAGATCTATCTGGCAACCTTTCAGGCCACATGAAAACAAGTAATTTCCAGAATCCGTAATTATTTGTTTTTATTTGAAACTTAATTTTTATTTGATTTTGATCTTAGCATACTTAAATCGTAAATCGCCTTGATTCTAGATTCTCTTGAGCAGAGTTCGCCACATACGGTGTTAGATTAGAGTTGCCAATCGTCCTCTATTCCAGAGGAGGACAGTCCTCTTTTTGATCTCATCACTGTCCTTTTTTTCCTCGCGTATTGAAAAAGTCCTCTTTTTTACATACCAAACTCAAAATCTAAAAAATATTCGTCTATCGCCATAATGTTTTAAAAAATTGTTAATAATTTTTTATAATTGCTACTTCCACTCGTTTGTACAGAAAAGCAAATGAAGAAATATTTATGTATGTACAAGAAGTATATATGTGGAAGCGATAAATATGCTTAACTATTTTATGTTTACTTGTTAGCTTATTTGAAAAACTTTTGTTGAAATCAGTTTGTTTTATTTTAACAAGTTTTGAGTATACACTTTTTCAAGAAAGTAATAAAGGCCATTAATCACACACCATTTACACAGCTTTTTGGTAAATTCTAGATATTTGGGCGAGGTTTCAAAAAATTGTTCGCCTGTGCCTCTTTTTTAACCTCTCGTCCTCTATTTTTTTATTTTGAAAGTTGGCAACCCTTTGTTAGATGCCTGCGGAGTAATACCCGAGGATCGACAAAAATCCTCGAGACATACCGAGGATTTGAATACTCGATAACCGAGTATTTTTCACTCAAGTGATCCCATAGCTACGTCAGAGTTAGCTTGAAAATGAAAAGTGCCTGTCATTTTATATGTGTACATCAATCAATCATAATTTCCAAGTCCCAGCCAACTTAAAGCCAATATTTTTCGATCACACGGTATAAATAGTATTTGACTCCTTCCTTAGTTTTTTTTTGTTCAATGGCTAAAGTACAGACCATGTCGTTTTAGCGGTTAGTAGGCCGCGGAGTTTCGAAAACTTGCCGCGATTATTTTTAGGCGGCTGCGACGACCTCGCACGGCAGGAAAGGGTGCTGCTCCGACAGAAATAGGTCCGTAGAATTCAAGTTTAATAGGCTGAGATAGATAGACGAATAGTGTTTTAGTAAAAAATGTTGTGACGGAAATGACAAGCCGAACTGTCAAACTTATTTATTGACCAGAGGAAAAAAGCCCGCAAAAATTCGATCGCGTTGCAGGTGCTTCTCTAGTCAAAAGATATGATTTAATGTGAGAGTTTATTGGGGGTTTTAAATTATATTCTCTAACTTCAGTTAATAAATGAATTTTAAGTAGTAAGTCATAGAAATTATGTAATTTTGCTCGCTTAGTAGATAATATGTAGAGGCAGTAGTAAAGTTAATTAATCAAACAGTGTTTAAATTAGTAGATACTAATTATTATTTGATAATAAGATGTAATAAACGTCTCAAAATATTCCTTTTATAGAAATCATAAAAGTAACAGCATAAAATGTTTAAAAAAGCTCTGAAAATTATTAAACTTAAACTATAAACTGGCGCAAATAATTGAAAAACAAAATTAATATCATTAAAAAATGTGAAACACAAAATATTACATACTTCAGTATGATTATGCACGTCTTTATTGATTGCACGTAAAATTGAAAAAAAAATAGTGAAGATATATTGTTTCTTATTGAATATATTATGGTTGTTTTAAAGAATTTTGTCTCAGAACATAAACAGTGGTGTGTCATAATTTCAATGCCAAGATATATTTTTGGCAAATAACAGTTGAAGTTCATGTAATTTTTGAGAAAGTTTATATTACAAATCGAGACAAAATTATTAATCATTGTGTTTTTGTTTTGACTATGAATTTTATTAAAACTATTAGCCATTATTCGATTATGCAGTATCTTTCGTGCAGTATCGTTCTGCATTCGTATCTTTAAAATCTGCATAAACGATAAGCGTTAATTAAAGTATTAAAATGTTTAGAAGAAAATATTTATTAATAGCTTAATTATACAGAGCTTTAAAGGTGTTCTTGTACTAAACACTTTAGTTTACTTTACTCCTGACGACTTGAAAACTAAAAAACTATTAAATAAAATATAAAATTTCAACAATATCGCCTAGGTTTTAATGAACTATAAAACTTAATATTTGTAGTGTTTGGGAGAAGTAGACAACAATAATGTAAGTGAGACAACTGTAAAATAAAATAAATGTAAGAATATTAAAATGTAAATAGACAAAAAAAAACAATGTCTAGAGCATCAAAATATCAAACTAGATAGGAATCCAATTTAAAATACGAGAATAACTGTCTCGAAAAGTTTTACAATATTAGTGTTATCTTTTATCTCATCCTGTATAACTTCGAAAATCACTGTATACCGGATGTTTTTTAAAAGTCCTATCCTTATAACTTTTTTATTTTTTCAGACAAAAAACGAGTTTTGGTATGTTAGTATATGACATAAACCAGGATTCAATTATTTTGTATCACTTACTGTTTTACCGGATATGGGCTACAGTTTTTGATCAGTAGATCTCCAAATAATTTAAAACGTACTACAAATAAAACTTATAGTTCAAAAAAATTTGTCGCTGTTCTTAATAGAGTCTGAGTGGTATGAGAGGTGCCACCCTTGATGTGACGTATGAATAGATTGATTAAGAGATATATCCAAAATATGTATATGAACTATCTGATGCAAATTTTAACGACTCTAAAACAAATTAATTGCCTAAATTAGTTATTTTTTTTATTATTTTATAGTCGTTGTTGTTGTTAAACACCTTAAAATTCTCAATTAAGCCAATTTATTTTGTATGCTAACATTTCCTTCATAAATTATAAGCATTACAAGCGTAAATAAAATACACATTTTTATTAATACCATAGTATAAAAATTATAATTTACTCAATTCCCTGTTAATACAGAGCAAAGTAGATTCGGAAGTTTTATGATAATAAAAATCCTTTAAAATTGTATATAATGTAATAATAACGTATTATCACGATTTTTCTTATTGAAAGTTCATTATTTTTAAAATACCTATGATATTCACAATGTAAATATGTATGTAGGTAAACACAGAGGCATCATAGTTTCAGTGCCAAGATGATTCAAAAATTGAACTCAAGTCTGGAATCATATGCAAGTTGGAAAAATAAACATGTTCCATAGAAAGTATCGCATATAATTATTATGAGATATTAAAAATACGTTCAATTAGGTTCAGTAGTATGGCTTCAATCGAAAGTTGCAGAATGGTAATATTTACACACTTTGCTGAAAATGCATTAAAAATACTACCTACTACAGAAAAAAGGGAATTCGCAAAAATTTCGTCCTGTAATGTAAAACTTTTTTATTCTTTCAACTTATTCTTTTTCCAGTCCCTACTGTACTCTAACTCTTTTTCCCTTAGTTTACTGTGGCCCTTTTTTAAGGAAAGCTTGACGAATTTCTTTCATGTCACTGGGGAGTTGTATTGTATTATGGCATAGTATATAAAATAAAATATCGAGGAAATTTTCGAGGCTTTTTTATGGAGTTTATTGGATATTTCACACTTGTGGGGAGATATCGAAATTAATATCGGATACATGGAAAATGTCCGTAACATGGAAAACGCTCTATAAATTCTCCTGATAAAATCAATGATTTTTTTGTAAACACTGTCTCTAGTAATGTGAATCCAAGTAAAGAAATTTTAAATATGTATAAGAATCCTTCAATGAAAAAAATACATGATAATTTTGAATTAACTTTAAGGCTGAGGTTAGTCGTATTATAAATAAAATAAAATCAAAAGCAACAGGCAGTGATCAAATTAATATATCCATGATTAGTCTTGCGACTCCATTCATAATTCCAATAATCACTAATATAATTAATGAATGTATTTTAAGGAATTATTTTCCTTCGGATTGGAAAAAAGCGCGAATTATTCCTCTAGCCAAAGTAAAAATTCCAAAATGTTACAATGATCTAAGATGCATTAGTATCCTACCAACGCTCTCTAAAATAATGGAAAAAATTTTAGAAAAGCAAATTATAGGGTTTTTGGATAAACATAGCATACTTCCACAGACACAGTCGGGCTTTAGAACTAGTCATAGCTGTGAAACTGCATTAGCTCATGTAACTGATGATATTATTGCATCTGCGGATAATAATAAAATAAGTATTTTAGTATCTTTGGACTTTAGCAAGGCATTTGATATGATTAATTATAACATTCATTGGCTCTATTTTGCACCACATAGGTTTTGATAACAAAGCTGTAGCGTTAATGAATTCTTATCTGACAGATCGATCTCAACAAGTCGTATACCAACAGCACCATTCGCGGTCTTTGAGTAAAACTGTGGGAGTACCTCAGGGTAGTATCCTAGGACCCTTACTATATACAATTTACCAGGGGCGGCTTCTCCTATGAGGCAGATGAGGCAGTGCCTCACCAATACATTTGAAAAATTACACTTATTAATCGATACATCTTTAATCACAAATTTATATTTTTTTCACTATTTGCATTAATAATAATTGTAATTGTATTTTTTAACCGTCATTCTACAATAAATTACGTCGATGGTATTCCTTTAAACGCGCTTCCTATCCCATATGCGACAAACTCGACGATGTATATCCATCTCATTTGTTCTTTAAGAGGTATATGTGCAGAGGTTTGCCTCTCGCCTTTCCTTGTCTAGCGTATTGTGGTATATCGCACTGACGGAGCGACAGCGATCACTGGAATCATAACTCTGTGGAATGAAAAGAAAAAGCATAGGCAAAACCTTTAGTTGAAGAGAGATAAAATGTATGGAGTAGTAGCGCGTAAAAAACCGTATTGAGGCGGACCTCAAATGTAAATTTGAACCTTAAAAGCCGTTCGTTAAAAATATGTATCACTTCCCGATCAGCCCGAGAGATTTTAGGCGACAGGCTGAAAATGCTGAATTGCATTATTTGGGAATTTGGCTTAATTTGAATCAGAGTTTTAATTAATTCTGCAGGTTATTACACTGTTTTGGCTACGTTTTTTAATGTGAATTGCATGTTTAATTACTCTTTTTACTGATTATTGTACATATAAAGTAAATACCTAAAAAGTGGGCAGTGACTTATTGTTGATTGATATGATGATTTAGAGGGACCATGCATCATCAGAGGACTTCCCCAGGTAAAGTTTTTCGAATCATTTCTAGATAAATTGTGTATAGTCAAAAAGTAAAGCGACCTGTTACAGATTTTGTTTTGTTTTATTTTTATAGGATGGGTAGAAAAACAAAAGGTAATGGTGTGGATCCGGTGGCTGACCTTGAAACGAGTTTTTGCTGCATATAGTCACAGACACTACGCATGCGCACATCTTCGATGTTGCCAGATTGCAAGTTATTTTGGAATTATTTTTAGTAGAAAACAAATATATGCTTTTCAGTGTTTTTTTTGTCAATATATACCGTATGATCAAAAAAACGGCGTCCAGTTGGCTGGGAAATGACGATTGAGGATATTTCCCATATAAAATAACAGCGATCTTCATTTCATAGTCATCGCTGCCGCTATTTTTTTTCAATCATAGTAGGTGGCATTATTTATATTATTATTTTAATATTTCGCACAACACGTGAACGCTTATTATGTATTTTCATAGTCAATAAAATTAAATAGAAATAAAACTCTAGATTCCTATAATTAATCTAATTGCTCTATATTATTATGCTACGTTTAAAAAGGGCTTTATTAAAAATACGTGAAATTAAAAGGGATGTGTCCAAGTTTTTACTTTTTTTTTAATTTTTAAATGCTGTAGCTTCATGTCATGTTCATAATAGTTTTTTTAACATTCCATCAAAACTACGGAGGCCTTAAAAGGCCTTTTAGCCTCCGTAATTAAAATTGTGTAGAATCAGCTTCAGCAACATTAACAGTTACCTTGTTTAATCCTGCTTATACATATATTGCATTAATTTTTCTGCTACCTTAAGATTTCTCTATTCTTACACCTAATTTATGTGATTTTCTTAGCAAAATATGATTTATAAACCATATTTTTCCTAATGGAAGGATGGAATAGGATATGCAAAATTAAGATATTTAACATTTATTTTCCAGACAAAGCATAATATAGTATTAAGATTAAGACATAACAAATATTATAAGAAAATCTTAATAAATCACAAACTAAGTCTTAATTTGGTCTTGTATAAACACAGGTATAAAACTAATAAGATAAAAACTCAACCTTCACCATATTGACAACATTTGGCATTATAGGAAACAAAAAATTACAGTAAATTAAGAAAA